GAGATCTGCTTCCATGGTGTTTATATGTTTATAAAGAAAGAACAAGACTATTTCACATACTGAAAAATAAAATAACAGGAAACAACTTCTATCGTCTTTGTTGTGACATGTTCTCATCTCTCAATCTGAATTTATTAGATTCTGATTTGCTCTTTTAGAGAAAGGTGGTCACATCAAGACTTATCCTGTAAAATAATTTAACAATTTATTTATTACATTTTTCATATACAGCACAGAGCACAACAGCTCAGACATGACCATCATAGTTGGTAGATAAGAATAAAGGCTAGATTTCCTGTTTCATAGTTGTTTCCTCCACCAACCAGCCAAGTTACATGAAATATGGTCACCGTCTCTCCCTCCTGAGTTACAGTGTTGAATAATATCCAGGAGTGTTTTTACAGAACATTGTGATGTCACAGTCAAGTTGACCTTTTGGATATAAAATGTCACATCTCCTATTAGACATTTGTGTTAAATTGTGTCATAATTAGTGTTAGAATTTGAGTAATGACCAAAAATGTGTTTGTGAGGTCACAGTGACCTTGACCTTTGACTTAAATCTAATCAGTTCATACTTGAGTCCAAATGAATATTTGTGCCAAATCTGAAGAAATTCCCTCAAGGCGTTACTGAGCTATCACCTTCATGTGAATGGGACAGACAGACGTACAACCTGAAAACAGAGACAGAGTCAGCCTGTTTAGGAAACCCTTGTAATAAGGAGAATGACAGTGTAGGTCCAACATGTTTTAAGAGTCACAAACTACGTTGGCCCAGACAGGTCAACACAATGCAAAAGCCACAACACAAATGTATACAGTACATAAATATGAAAATATAAACACTGTCAACTGCGTTGCTAGTGACAATCACATAGCAACATTAATCAATTAATCAGCAATGACGTTTCACTTCTTTGAAAACTTTCCCAGTCAAAAGTCCTCCAGTAACCAGGACCAGTAATATGGACAAGTGGTTCCTAACCTTGTCCAACTCATGGCCCACTTGAAAATCTCAAAAATGTTGGCGAACCACATCAGACCCCATAACAATACAGACGTCAACTAATATGTTTTCAGAGCACTTTTTATTTTAATAACGATCAAACATTCAGGACTGAACTGAGAGCAGAGGAAGCATGTAGGAGGTTCAATTTTTCTTTTTTCTTTTACAGAGGACATCACTTGTCGATTCACTGTCTGTCTCTGACTTTCTTTTTAATTCTTCCTGTTGCTAACCAGCTATCCATTTTGATTCTCCAGTTTTTGTCATGGATGTGATCTTTTAGTGCGCTATCAGACTGAGATAGCAACAAGTATATGATGTGCTCCGTCCGGCAACAAAAATAAAAAATAAATAAATAATGATAGGAGTTTTTAAACTTTAATGTTTTTAAAGACCATTTCATTTTAAAACATTATTTACATTTGCATTTTTTGATACATGTAATGAAATTAGTTTATTTGCTGTAATAGAGGTGAGGCTCAGTGTATTGGAAGTGCTCCTCCTCTTCCCTGCAGTTCTTGAGCAGTTGGGAAATCAGAGTGGCTGTGTGGCTCCACACTCCACTGACCGGTAGTGAAAATATGATCCGTCAGTCAGCAACATTCCAGGGCTGTGGCAGCCAGCCCTATAATCTGCCAGCAATGCTTCCTCTCTTGTTATTGGGGCATTTGTGCTTTGTGTTTTGCGCTGCTTTGGGAGTCTCAGGTCTGAGAAAAATGAATGTATATGGGCCTGTGCATTGTCAGGCTGTTCTGACTTATATAAATTGGTATAAAATAGTACAAATTCTTTATTAATAGTTTTGGAACCCAATTATCTCGCTACAATGGAGTCTGTATGAAACAACAGCTTGGGAGAGATTGGCACGATATCTACTGGGTTTACCCCTGAACTCGGAGTCCTGCATCACCAGAATAGTCAGGGCAGCACGTGTGGCTGTCAGTTCCATGAGTAAATTTTGGTTTGGGCTAGATATGTAATGTTTCGCCAAATCAGCTAACCTAGATTCAAGGATTTTATACTGTTTATTATTTCAACCTACGGTATCTTAGATGCTACAAATGACATGATGAGGCCCTGGGAGTAAACTTTACAGGTCTCCCAAAGTACAGACGGCTTATCTGCCACAACCAAAAACATGTCTGATGAAGGAATGAAAATAAACAATTCTGGTAGAACTTTTATGCAGGGCAGAGAAAATAGTAGAAGTGAGCAACCTGGCTGACTTTGAAAGAGGAGAGAGGCCAGATAGGGATTATGGCAGGTAAAATCTCCCCCCACAAATGAAGTTTCAGATGCCAGTTCAACAAACTTCATAAAGGCCATACATAACATTTGGTAATGATTGATTAAAGTGGGCTTGACTTATTACAAAAAAATCTAAATTCCTACACATTTCACTTTCCAAACTTCAAAAATATGAAAATCACCCCTTACATCCTACAGAACTGAGATGTACATAGCACATCCACTGAACTGTGACAGAAGCTTGCTTCACTGCAACCTAGGGTCAATTCAGAAGTCCAGAATACACAGAATCAATTAACATCATTATCTCCATAAGTCTTCATTCAAATGCTGCCAAAACGGATACAGATATTCTCTAGATTGATTGATTGATTGATTGATTGATTGATTGATTGATTGATTGATTGAGTGATTGAGTGATCTGTTGGCAAAAGTGATACTGCAGTGGTACTTTCACTTACATTGTAAAAGTTTTGTAAGTGAAATTTTCAGGGGAGGTATAATATGACACGTCTACCAGCAGGTGTTGCTATAATCAACATGAGGGCATTTTGACTAGAAACTCTCACATTGTACATCGCCCATAGAAAACTTACATTCCCGATTTTATCTGAATCTCCAATAGAGGCCACGCCCATTTCTGCCAAGGATAAATAATATATGAAATATGCATTGACTCCTCCTAGACTGTGAGTCTGATCTGCACAAAACTTTGCATAAAGAATCTATGGATGCGTAATTAAAATAATGTTGATAATTCAATATATGTGCAATATATAAAGAAAGAACTTCCTGTAGGTTGCAATCAAAACAGGAAGTGTTGCATTTCTTGCAGTGTGGCTCCTCCCACCATCAGTGCTGGGAAGTGCAATTTTTTTTAACTAAGCAAAAATATTTAAGTCAAAATTGTTTGTATTGTATTGTTGTACTGTATTTATTTGAATTTTATGTGAATACGCATACTTCTTGTATATTTCCGCCAGCCAGGGAGCCGGCCATAACATAAGCAAGACATATCAAGATACAAACAAACAAGACATTGTCCTTATTCACAGAAAAAAAAGACTAACAGCGGTTGAGCATAAGCACGTTCAATAAACAAACAAACAGTACATCATATAAAAGGAAAGAAAAATTAAAAAATTTCAGATTAACTTAAATAAATCAAGTAACAAAATTAATTTACAGGCTTTCTTGTCATCCTTTTTAAGCTTCAAAGACTTACTCAGTAATTTAAATTTGTTCAGCCAATGATGGGAAGTGCAATGTAATCACACAGATTTTTAGGGGTCCAAGTCTCAAGGGGCTGGGGGCCACATTGCCTCGATAACCTCAGATCCTACAGGTCTCAGGACGTTAGACTCACTGAAGACAGATAACAGAAAGTTATCCTGGGCATGTTGAATTTGCCTCATAGCACAGGCCTCTGGGGTGGAAAGACAGCAAAGGCAACACAGGAGTACACAGCACTGTCTATTCTTCTTCTTCTTCTTTGACTTTCACACAACTTTATTTGGGACACTTTATGCCAAAAAACTTAAATGGTCCATTTCAAAACTTTGAATAAATTACCAGTGAACAATCAAAAAGAAAACAACAACAACACACTCCTCCTTACAAGTTAAAAAATTAAAAGCTGAGCTGCAGTGACCCACTATCCCCATTGGAACACAGGACCTGCCTGATCCCCCACACATCCCTGAAAACATCCAGGTTGCTCTGAGCCGAACTGAGACCAGAGCCTTCAGACACAGCACCGGCTCTGTCCAACCCACACCTGACAACTGGTTCTTGCAACTTTTCCAGATTGCTATCTTAGCATTTGCTAACAAGAAATTGATAAGAACCAGTGTCTTTCTCTTTTTAAAAGTGTACCTTGGGCCAAAAACAAAAAAAAGAAACGAAAAAACTTCACCTAAAGCCTCCACCACGAGGACAGGAAAACCACCAGGTGTTCTAAAAGGACAGCCCTCCCCAGTACAGGGGTCCAGGTGAGCCCTGTATCTGTTTGTAGCTATAGCTCCATGTATGATCCTCCACTGGAGGTCAGCCATCCGTTTTTTGTTGTTGTTTTTTTATTATTATTTATTTTTTCGGGCTTTTTGTGCCTTTATTGATAGTGCAGTAGAGAGAGACAGGAAATGGGGAAGCCGAGAGAGGGGGAATGACATGCAGCAAAGGACCGTCCGAAGCGGGACTCGAACCGGGGCCAACTGCAGCGATGTCTTGTAGCCTCTGCACATGGGGCGGATGCTCAACTGAGCTACTCCAGCCATCCGTTTTTCAACAGGAGGCTTGGACAGGAGCCGCCAGCAGCATTTAGGGGAAGAGTCTGCATCAAACACCTAAATCCAATTGGAGTTCCTGAGTCCTGCTAGAAAGCTGAGGTTCAGGACCTTTACACAGCTGTGATACAGCTGCTTCTTCCCACAGGAGATGGATTTTCCCAAAGATGGAGTCTTCAAGGAGAGAAGCAGGCCACTCTCCCACATTATGACTGATGATGAGGGTGGGGAACACAAACTCGTGGCCGCCCCTCACTGTTCTTCTTCTTCTCCTCTATTCCTCCTTTGTCCAGTTAGTTTTGTATAAACACAAGAAGGAAGCAGCGTTAGTGAGATAGTGATTTTGAAAGGAAAGCTATCCACTGAGTGCAGTTTTAATGTTTGCTCTGCAGTGGGCAGTAGTTCTCCTTTAAGAACTGCACCGCAGAAAAATATAAGACAAAGAAGACGGAACCCGGAACTATGACAAGATGGCGGAATGCGAGAATAGCAGTGATGTTAGACAGACGTCACATTCAGACACAGAACCTCCCAAATTATCCGACCTGCTAGATCGTGGGTGGAAGACGTTTGAGGAGGTGGATAGTACAAACGAGGCGCTGGGCTCGAACAGTGTCCAAGTGAGGGTGAAACGCAGTATCGGGATGTTAGAAGAAGCGTCCAGAATGGCGGCTCAGCTCGATCTGTTCAGCCGTAACGAGGAGCTGGAGGAGATCGCCACGGCGGACCTGAAGTACCTGCTGCTGCCCGCTCTCCTCGGAGCTCTGACCATGAAGCAGACCAGCAGAGACAAGCGGCTGGAGATAGTCCAGACAGCCCGGGCTTACTTCATGGACTTCCTGAGGAGGTGTAGAGAGTACAACATGTCACAGTTTGAGCTGCCAGCGTCGACGGGCGGAGACACGAGTGGTCCAGACGGAGATTCAGAAAACGGACTCTCTGCGGCCAAGGTGAGTGGGTTAAAGGTTACAGAGCATCCACGATGGAGAGCGGCCTCAGTCCTGAACCAGCCCATCATGTGCTTGTTGCCATGTTTGTGCCAGAGAAGGGACCCTGCAACTGTGAGCATCACAATCAGCTTCTGTAGAGGCAGCAACTGTTTGCATCAGGTGTTGTTATCAGCAGGTAGTTGAGTCTAGTTAGAGGCAGTTGGGTTAAGTTACCCACAGCATCACCATCTCCAGCAGCAGAGATCTAACAGTGGCTGATGGTGTGGTCCCCTAGTGGCAGGTAACCTCATGTCACTGTAAACAACAGATGATTTAAATGAGATAAATAACTACATGGTAGAAATGTGCCTTTTAGCGACCACCTGTGTTTGGATTGAGTTGGAGGAGAAAGATAATCTCCACCACTATCCATCCAGCTGCTACAGGACAATGACCCAGGAAAGGAGTTGAAATGGTTCATACATGACTCAGGATTAAAGCTAGTAAGCCTTATAAAAAAGTTGGACCTCCAGTGGACCCACAGCACATACATGGAACTAAAAAAACATGATGGTAGAACATGAGCTACTAATTTCATCTTCATACTTATTCAGTAACTCAACAAAGAAAACACATTCAGTGCAAAAATGGGAAATAGGTGAATCATATATACCTGTATTTAGACCAAAATGGAGGACAACGAACTCTCCACCCTGGAGTGAATCTCTCTGGATAATTTTCTGTCTCATTCAGACCAGCCTGACTGCTGCAGACTGCTCTGTGGGAACACAGTTGTTGACTTAAAGTTCCAAGTACTTCTCTTCAGGAACTGAACGGTTCCTGTGGCCCATTGTTGTCTGCTTTTCCACCGCGGCCTAAAGTCCGCGAAGATTATGCAAAATTATTACTTGACATTACATTATTCACAGCACTTTGAGGACATAACATGAACGAAATTACGGGACAAAATACAGGACGCAGCATTTTATTTTTAATTTTAGGACGATCCCGTATTATACGTGATGGGTGGCAACCCTCGCCACTCCGGCTGTTGTGGTTCTTTATTTTCCTGAAGTCCTGTTTCAGTTTTTTTCCTTCTCTTGGACCTGTTTCGCGGTGTGGAGTGTTTGTCTGCTCGCTCACTGCGGACCTTTAAACATGGCGGGTGAAATAAAATGCAGCGAGTACTCGACCAGTCAGAAATGTTCAGCACTGCAGACCACACCCCCCAAAGTTCCTGAACCTTTGGAAAGAAGTGAAAGTAATGAAAGTTAAAAAGAACACATTGAACACAATATATCACACAGTTAAAAAAAACCAAAACAACAACCTAGTATAAAAACAATAAATATAAAGTGCCAGTCTTCAGATTGCACAGTCCACGGTAGTTATTGCACATTTATTTTTTTCCATTGAGTGTGAATTGCCTCAGGAAAGAGGAAAAAGTCCTGAACGTGTCAAATCAGTAGATCATCGTTTTCAGCTGATCTTTTGATAATATTAAACTATCACTGCCTTCAAAATAAAACACTTTCATTGGGAAGAACATACAGGAAGTATGATACAGTGTCAACAGTAGTTTTGCATATCAACAGAGAGTAGAGAAGATCCTGGTGGGACAGAGCTGGTGATAAATGAGGTGATATCACACAGAGGAAGAAGGAGCAGAGTGACATCAGTGTTTCCTCCTGGTTGACAAGTCAGCATCTGTCCATCTTTGGTTTAACATTTGTACTGCTCTGAATGTAACGAGCTCTTAACGAGTAATGCTTGGTGTGTGTGTGGAGGGGCCAAGACGCACACAGTTAACCAGGAAGCACAGCAGAGTAAATGACAGCAAACCACATCAGAGATGTCACTTAGAGCATTGTTTGAACTATGATGTGTACTTCTCGTTCCAGTCTGCCCCCTGCCCGTCAGACCTGGTTTCCATGGCAGCACAGAGACAAGCAAAGATCGAGCGATACCGTCAGAAGAAGGAGCTGGAGGCCAGACTGTCAGATGTACGGAGAGCTGTGGACAGCGGGAAGGCGGATGACGAGGTCAGCAGAGATTTTTACCTCCTGAACATCCGGAGGTGGGTAACCGTGTGTCTGGAGGAAATAGAGAGCATCGACCAGGAGGTGGAGATTCTCAAGAAGATGGATGTTCTGAAGCACATTGCCACCAAGCCGTCGGCTCAGCCCGCCAGGCCTCCCATGAAGCCATTCATCCTCACCAAGGATGCCGTACAGGTGAGACTGTGTGGTAGGAGGCACTGTGGGAGGTAGCTGCTCCTGAACCAGCTACATGAAGTCATTCACTAGTCCCTGTTACATGGGGGGGGGGGGTTGTCCACTAGAGAGCAGTAACAAGTTGATTTTGATTGATTGGTGGGGACAGCAGGACACGGAGGTCTTTATTAAGACAGTCCTCATAGACGAGGCAGGTTTCAGATCACCGGTGCAAGCTCTTGTGTGTGACAGTGTGTTTGTTTGGTCCAAAGGCTCGGGTCTTCGGGGCAGGTTACCCAAGCCTTCCCACCATGACGGTAGATGACTGGTATGAACAGCACAGGAAACATGGAGCCCTGCCTGACCAGGGGATTCCCAGGAGAGTCGCCGTGGAAGAAGACGCTGATGCAAACGACAGGGAAGAAGAAGAAAAAGAGAAAAAGGCTGAACAGGATGATGAGGAGGCTCTGCTGAAAGCCAGGAACTGGGATGACTGGAAAGACACTCATCGCAGAGGTTACGGAAACCGGCAGAACATGGGCTAACTGATCTAGCAGAGCGTGTGTCATGTGTCTTCATTTCTACTCTAATCAGTCCAGAGGTGGACACTGTTCACAGTCCTGATCCCTAACACAGTGGGTAAGAGAAGGAAACCCGCCACAGCATCACCTGACCAGCCTGCTGACTTCTGATTGGCTTATCGACACTACAGCTGATTCCCTCATGTTACATTCATTTACAGCACAACAGCCCTCTGTAGTGTCATTGTTCTAACACTCACTGGAGAATAAAGACTGATCTAACCACCTGCACTGTCAAACACCAACTTCTGTTCTTTGGCATGAGTAACACTGACACGTCGTCAGGCCTCGCACACATAATGATCCGCTTCAAACTGAGCCACCAGTCAAGTTGGCTTCCTGTAGGAAAATCACTGTTTACTTCATCCTTTACATGGTCTAACTGTCACTAATTATGAGTTCAGTTGACTGAATGTCCAATGGATCATTTACTGAAGCCATCAAATTAAGTTATTTAGAAATATTGGATGCTTATTTGCACTTACTACCCATCATGCATTGTATTAAGGTTTAAATTCTCCATTATTATCAAAGGCTCTCTGATGAAGGTTTGATGTGTCTCAGGAGTGAGATGATCATTGTTCTCTATATAATCTTATAAAAAGCAAATTAGTCAGATATTTGCTCTAATAAAATTTGAATATCAGCTGTATCAGTTCTTCCATCCTACATCTTGTGGTTCTGGTCATGTAGTGGAACTCTTAAATCTGGTTTTCAGACCTGAGCTGTTTTAGATGTAAAGTACATACCTGGCCTGGCATCAGTCACAAGCCATTAAAAAAGTTCATTGTAAGGACATGCAGAGTTACGGACCCAAAATTGACACTTTGTGACTCTTCCCACCATCAAACTATCAAATTGATAGGAAACAGAGACAAAGGACCCTTATCTCACAAACAGTCCATGCTGTTGTCACAGAGACACAGAACCAGACCGAAGGTCAAAGGGTCAGCTCCAGAGGATCAACCAATGGACACCAGGCAACTGGAGAATATAGGCAAAATCTCCAGTTTGTAACAATACGACTCTGTCTAATGATATTTGATTGTTTCTTATACAGGACAAATAACACCGAAAGGACTAATTATCACTAAGGTGTGAATCCTGGCCTGTCTGTGCCATGCATGAAAACACACACGCACACACACACACACACACACCAACCTCCCTTCCTCTGCCCCTCTCTAGATAAGAGTAATAAACTACAACCCACATTCCAATCCTGGGTAGTGACAAGCAGAACTCTCTTCACAGACACAGATCTAAGGAAGAATGTAAAATTAAATATCTAGCTGTTCTGTAACTCATGAGATGTTCCTATGCAATAGTTTAATCCCAAACTTCTATCCCATAGAGTGTTTGAAATGTAACATGTAGATTTTAAGACAATGTCCTTCATGTGACCATACTGTCAGCATCCTTCACACGAGGTAACACACACTACATGACATCCAGAATGTCCATATTATTATTATTACAGTCAAAGAACTGCTGTGTAATCCACATTTATAGACTTTTAGCTTTAGGAAATGTTTATATTGTTGTTTGATCAGGTAACCACTACTCCTGTCTGCCATTATTAGTGCCATTAGGTTTATATGTTATTTCATTTAATGTTTTTTGGTCATGGTGGAAGACGGATGTGCAAGTTTATAGGTAAACTGTAGAATTAAACTATTCAAAAGTTCAGTGGAAAATTACTCTCTTCTCCAAGTTGAAACACAGGAGAAGACGGGTGACGCCCCTGAAACATGTGATCAATTCACACATTGCTCTAAGCAAAACTCAAAGCCCGGCTCTGTAGCTATTTAAACTGGTAGCTCTAAGCTGCTAGCCACAAACTCACGGCTCTTAGCCATTTTTGCACTTGATCATTTTGTCGCGTCCTTTATTCTTTCTTTGCCACGTGCTCCAAGTAACATCATTTTTGTCTACATGCGCGATCTTTTATTTTTATAAGCCAAGTCAAGACCAACTGAACCAAAACAACAGGAGTGCCTCAGAGTAATGTTTTTACTTTAAATCATCATCAAGTTTCAGACAGTTAGAGTCATCTGGTCAACGCCAGTCTCCTCTAAAGTTATCCTGCCAGAGTGAAGAGCATTAGAGTTTATTTCGCATCAACCCAGAAGAGACACCAGCAGATAACATCTGCACGACCGCCTGCAGAGAAGCCGAGCAGAAATCAAGAGTTCCCGAGACAGAAAGTCTCCTGGCAAACTCCACCAGAGCTGAACCGCTGAGACACCGGCAGAATCCGTCATCGTGATAACGGGACACGGCCTCCAGGAGAATCCACCTAGATCCCACGTCTCCAGGGTTACCACGGCAACCACAGCCACCTGGGTTCCAGCCGAGGGTCTTCAGCTACAGCGCAACTCACAGTAGGCCGGTCTTAACACTCTGCTCATGACTGGGTTGATGTCGAAATATAGCAATATTTAATCATCAAACCTAATTCGTAGATGTAGCATCATTAGCTGTATAGCCATAGTGTATAGCCATAACATATCCTCTCCCACCATTGCCAACTCATCACACTGCTCATTTCATTATCATTTTCATCTTTATGATTATTACACCTTGCATTTACTCTGTAGATAGTAGTTTATTTAATAAACTCCTTCATTTACACACAGTTGTTGTCCTGTTGTGTTCTTTTGATGTAGAGACTGGAGATCCATTGAATCGAGAAGTCATGGCTTCCGATATGAGATTGATAAATTTATCAATGAAGTAATTCATTGTTGTCCTCCCTGAGGACTGGTGCCCCATTTCAACGAGTAAATTCTAAATTACGGTGTTAACGCTACATAGATAATATTTGTTATAACAAATATTAATATAACGATTTAATATAAGTTATCACATCATTTAATTTGTCCTGTTTAAAGTGATGAACAGTCAGAAAAGCTCAGGTGAGGTCGTGTTATTCCATCCCAGGAGAAATGTGAGGCTGCAACCAGAAATTATTTTCATTACCAATACGTCTGACAGTTATTTTCTTCAGTTATCAGTTATCAGATTGTTCAGTGAATGAAATGGTGATAATGCCAAAGTCTGAGCAACAGTAACAAATACAAAGATGTTGGCTTTACTGGTGGAATTTCTTTACGCCATTAATTAGTCCAAGACCTTCTTCTCTTCTTCTACCTGCCACATGCAGAGGCATCACATGCTAAAGTGAGTGGTAGACCATCACAAACCTAAGGAACCAATCCTGTCAAATTGTTGGGGCAGGGCTAAATAAACCTGAAACCTTGTCAGTACAGAGAGAGACAGTTAACATAATTAGCATAACCACTAACACTGTGTCAGCCGCTGCTAGTTACAAGCTAACAAACAGCATAAACAAATAAAAGATGCTAACTGCGCTAACCGTTCTGATCCGTCCGCTAGTCTCTGGTTCTGGTCTCAACAGACTCCTCCTCTGAGTCTGGGTCTGACTGAGGCTCAAACATGTGGCTGAGTCTCTCTGATGTTTCCTCCTCTAAACATCTTGATCCTCTCTGCTCTTTCACCTGTCCACCTGGAGCAAGCAGGTGGTGGGCGGGACTCAAGGCCTGATTTCTTAATCAGGAAGTAAGAGTAGATGAGCTTCAGACCAAGTTTTTGTGTGAAAACCATGTTCAACTAAATATGAATCAAAGAGGATTTTTACAGAGTTTAAAACGTGTCTAGAGAGGAAGATTAACATGTCCCTAAAACTTCTGGAGGAGCTTCCTGTTTAGCTCTCACCTTGTCCTCTGAAGGGTGAAGACTGTGCTCATCCAGTACAAGTTTTCTACAGAGCATTTCACTCGTACTCCATTTTCCTGAAGGTGCTGTTGGACTTCCTGAAGGCGATGGAGAAGGTGCTGACAAACACGTCATGTTGAGGACAGGTGACATCACAGCGGTGGTCTTCGAGGACAGATGAGGGAGTTGGGTCCAGAACAGGACATCTTGTCATGGGCCAGTCATCACCCTCTGCCTGAGAACCCTGCACATCTCCAGGTCCCTCAGTGTGGGAGCAGACAGCATCTCCAGAACAGGTGCACCTGAGGATGAGTGGAGCCCCCATACCTGGATGTGCATTGTCCTCTAATTACAGGCTCAGCGGGTCCAGTTTCGATTTGCTGAGCTGAGGTGCACTGGTGCATTATCAGTGCACAGTTGTATCTTCCTGGTTAGTGAGTGTAAAGATGTTTCTGAGGGAACAGAGGGGAAACCTCTGAAGGGTCAAACAGTGAAGACAGTTTGCTCACCAGCTGGTTGTCATGAGTGGTTAAAGCTCTAATCAACCTGCCTCATAGGAACACCACACTGAGACTCAGATCTCAGTACAACACAGTAATGAGGCAGACTGAGGCCGTTAATTCGCTCAACCCCTCCATGCCCCGCTCTCTCTCTCTCTCTCTCTCTCTCTCACTCACTCACTCACTCACTCACTCACTCACTCACACAAACAAGCACACTGTCTGTCTGATTGGCTAAAAAAAAAGTGTTTATTTGTGGTCAATCAAGACACACGTGGAGACGCATTTTAAATTCAGGTGTGAACTGACGAACTGAGAGCTGAACACCTGTGATTGGATCACCTGAGACAGATGTTACAGTAATACCAGGTGTGAACAGGGCCTGAGTGGTCACTGACTAAATGCCCATATGTGGTCTAGACTGAGAAGAATCAGTCGGCATATCCAAACTTCATGTTGAAATGTTTACAGATTATGTCAAATATGATCAGATAGATTATATTTCACAGTGTCTTTCTAGCCGCAGGCCTGAATGTATGGAATGCCATCTTAATCAATATTAAATAAATAAAAAAATACAGCTATGAAATAAACCCTGAAAACTAAAATTAGATAGATAGATAGATAGATAGATAGATAGATAGATAGATACTTTATTTATCCCCTAGGGGAAAATCATGATTCAATTATGTAATAAACGTAACAATATATAAATAAATGTCAATATAAATATATAAATGAGTCATTACATAAATAGCTATACAAATGAATCAATGAATAAATGAATAAATAAATAGCTTTTTATATTTAGAATTACCTTATTTCTGGACTTTTATTTCCGAATGTCACATTTATGACTCAAATTTATATTTACATTTATTTATATATTTCTACATTTAGTACCTAATTTATTTATTTCAGGTTTTATTTCATAGCTGTATTTATTTAGTTATGTATTCATTTAATAGATTTTGATTTAGGGGCGGCACAGTGGCTCAGTGGTTAGCACATCACAGCAAGAAGATTCTGGGTTCGAACCTGGGCCTTTCTGTGTGGAGTTTACATGTTCTCCCTGTGCCTGCTTGAGTTCTCTCCGGCTTCCTCCCACAGTCCAAAGACATGCACCATAGGTTAATTGGCCACTCAAAAGTGCCCATAGGTGTGAATGTTCATGTGTATGTCAGCACTGTGATGGACTGGCGATCTGTCCAGGGTGTACCCCGCCCTCACCCAGACACTCCATATGAACAGGGCTTTCTTTCAAAACTGAAGGAAAGATGAAGAGACCAACAAGGAGGGACAGTTAAGGCACTTTAATATCAGAAATAACCTCAGATCAAATATTTTGTCCTGGTACCTGATGAGGCTTCCATGTTTAAAGCACTTCAATCTTTTACACAACAGAAAAAAAATGGTACTTCAGATGAAAGAGATCTCATCTTGCTCTGGGGTTAAGACCTTTCTTCTAATTAAAGACAAAAAATTATCCTTTAACAACAAGACTCAACAAACTCTCATTTGGCAAACTGAAAATTCATGAATGAATGGAGGGAGGAGGGCAATACTGTCCCACTATTGAAAACATTAACTCTGTAAAACCTCCATTTGCTAGTAATTTATACTCTTCAATCCAAAACAGGTTTATAGGAAACCCTGAGTGTGTGAGGCTGCACTGATGTTAAATCATCCACCATCTGAACGCTGTCATGTGTTACTGTTATAATCTTATAAAGTATAATCACTAGACCATGAATCTTATTATTAATCAGACATGTGATCAGACTGTCCAGTGGCTCAGCAGTGTAAGGACCACAGCTCAAAGAGCAGCACACACACACACACACACACACACACACACACACACACACACACACACGGGGTGAGAACAGAAAAGGAGGATGAGATGCACTTAAGTCAACAATGGTTCAACAAAAAGGATTTGACTCTTTAAGAAACACTTTAGTGCATGTATTTTGATGAGAGTCACACGTGCACATGCATATTTGTGTGTGCAACTGCAGTCGCAGGATGTGCACACAAACACACGTGGCGCTTTTAGTAAATAATCCAACAAGTGTATGTACATGCATCTCGTCCTCTGTGTGCCCCCCCCAAACAAACAAACACACACACACACACACACACACACACAACACACCACACCACACCACACCACACCACACCACTGAGGCCAGAACCTCACTATGGTCCTAACAGTTAAAATACTCACTGGATTTAGACCCTGATTATTACCAATCAACTGATTAAAGAAATTCAGATTTAGTCAGATTCTAACGTACAAAACAGATTTTGGCACGAGGCAGTTCAGGATGCACACTGGTGATGAGGGTCCTGCTGTTGTAAAGGCACAGTGTGTGTTTATGTGTGTGTTGATACACACTCTCGACTCGCAGATCAGAAGACAAATCATGGCGTAGCAAACGTCATGTGGCATCATCGCCATGGACACCACCCTGTTTGTTGACAGGACTTCATGTTGACATGGTCAGCTCTAACTTATCAGGAAGCTGCAACACAGAATGAGACTTTTAGCCAATAGGAAACAAGGCACTGTGTCAGCCAATCACAGCAGGTAGAACAAGATCAACAGAAATAAAGGTGTGTCTCTACCTGTATGGATACCCATGGTACTTAGCTCTGAAAATGGACAGCAGACAGCTGAAGAACAGCATCACCAGACCAATACCTGCTACACACATGACTGACATGTGTGCGCGCGTGCGCACACACACACACACACACACACACACACACACACACACACACACACACACACACACACACACACACACACAGATGGCACAGTTCATGTTGATCATCAGCATCATGTTTGGACTTTTCATTTCCACATTAGTGATACATACTATGGTCATATATTCTACATTTTACTGCCTTTATGTCCATAACTGTTGATTGTTGCTGTTCATCACTACTACATGACTGTCTTAAACGGTTCTGTAAATGAGATTTTAAACAATAATACAGCAGCAAACAACTGTTTTCTATGTAAAGATATAGGGGAGTAATGGCATTCTGAGCAGAGAAGAAGCCACACCTCCTCTGTGTGTGTTGTAATCTGATTTTTTCTGGTCATTGTTTTGGTAGCTGATCTGGCAGCAAGTTCATGTTAGTGCATATGCGTCCCTCCTGTTAAACTGTTGGTCCTCCCATGTTTATAAACACAGAGGCTCAGCCCACAGGTGAGATGCCCCAGTGCTGTGTTCAGGTGACCTTCCAGAATTTCCTCCACTGAAGAAGAAACCATGTTTTCATCTAAACAGGCCTCACACAAAGAAAGAGCTGAGACCAGAGCACAGGTGGACTGGACTGAGGACTACCAGCTCAAATCCTGGTCAGCTGGTAGACTGTCAAAACATCCATAAAGTTTGTTTTCCGGCTCCATCAGTGGTGTGGCCGGTCCCAGTGGATCAGTTAAAGGCTGAATTTCTTTCCCAATACTGGTCTGGTTTACTGAGAAGAGAAACCTACGAGCTGCTAAAGGGTCCAGCTGGACTCAGAATTGGTCTTTCTTCTCCTCTATGAGGCAGTAAAATATACAGGACTGTTTCTCAACAAGTAAAATGTTTCCATCATTAAAGATGATGACAATGATGATGATAATGATGATGATTACCACAACTTCCCAAAAACAGAGTGATCTACAGAAATTCTCTTTAACCATTTCAACCCTTATTTCCTTTAAATCTACCCATATGTCCTCTAGTGTCCCTCTCACACAGACGGGGACAGAGGCTTCACATATTTGAAAAACATCCATCTGTTGGATAGACTCTAAAAAAGCAGGTGCCCACAGGAAAACTAGAAAACGAGCTGGTGATCCAAGGAGCACTAGTGTGTGTTTGTGTGTGTGTGTGTGTGTGTGTGTGTGTACATACTCTTCCTCTTTCCAATGTCTATGTCAGAGGTGGCAGCCTCACACAGCAGCACGATCCCCGTGGTAACCGCAGCATCTGATAGTGAGGTCAAGGTTCAGACAGGAAATAAGATGCATGACCTCAGACCACCACAGTTCAACAGCTACAACCAGGATCTACTTTAAAGGTCAGGCCTGTGGAGGGAGGTGTGAAACTGATTAACACCACAGCTGGAGGAGGAGCATAGCTGACACTGGGGATCTGATCCACCTGGCTGAGGGGGGCTGACATTAACCTCATGGTGTGTTAGAGTGACTCAGTTCAGTGTGTGTGTGTGTGTGTGTGTGTGTGAGTCAGCTTAAGGATACTGAAGAGCAGGACGATGTGAGTCTCAGCCACAAACTGAGCCTGACTGCTGCCGTGGATGTAACTCTGAAAACAACAGGACAGTTAAACACAGCTCTGATGATCACTTCACATATCACACTGTCAGTCAGGATGGACTGTGACTTACAACTTGTCCAGTGCTGGGGTTCTTGTGTGCATACGGTGGTCCTCTGATGTGGTTCCACATCTGGCCTGAAGTCATGATCAGGACAAAGCACTGACACACAGAGAGAAGAAAATAGGGAGGACATCATAAAGACCAGGATTCATGAGAAACTTGGCTGGAGACTTTATTCATTCAGTGTGTGCAATTCTTTATTTCATTCACTGTGTGCAATAATCATATTTGTTGATGAACTTATTATAGTATTTTATATTCCTGAGCTAGATGCAACACACTTTTGTTCTTTTGTGTAAAGTGTGAATGACAATAAATTCTTCTTGTATTTCTCCTGATCTGTGCAGCAGCAGGTGAACATGTCTGTGTAACATGGAGCTAAATAACCAGTGGAGATTCTCAGCGGGCAGCTGAGTTTTCATGCTTTGATTTTGAAATGAGACGAAATGTTGTGCTGTTTTTGATATTGCTTGAATATGTTTGTTGGGATGAAGATTTCAAACATCACTTACTCATTTGTGTGAGCAACTTATTAATTTGTGCCATTGAACTTTGGTCATATGACCAAGAATATGCTCACAGAGAAGATGCTGCTGCTGCTGCTGTTGCTGCATTAACCCTTACAAGCAACAGCAAAACACAGCAGCACCACTTAGTAAAGTGGTAAATGATCATCTGCTCATCAGTTTCAGATTCCACCTCAGTGCTTTTCTTCACTGATCTCAGCTCAGCACAGATCACTGCAGACCCACTGCATCTCTGGCCTGGCTGTCATGTGGTTCAGTATTTTCTGATGTGATCTATGGAGAACCACAGCGCTCTGCTTTTCTCTCTTTATGTTTCACATCTTGGTCATGACTCAGTCATGGACTTAAATGTTCACTGCTACACTGATGGTACTCAGCTGATGATGTCACATACTCAGCTGAACCTTTTAGGTCAGGCGATCATAATGATGTCACATGATTTCCTGCTCCTACATTCAGATAAAACTGAGATGCTGGTCATCGGCCCGACACAGACACCAGTTGGTTGATCCTGATTCACACCTTTGTGTCATTCACACTGGATTATTTGTAATATTTGTGCACCAATTTTAGCTTCCAACAGTGTCTTTAAGGTGTACAGACTTTAATGTGCTTCTACTGACACACACAATCTTGAACGGGCAGACCTCATCACACTTGTCTGATCTACTAAAACATTATGTCCACCCTGTGCTCGCTGCTCTCCCAACACAGGGCTCCTGTCTGTCCCCAGACTTAAAAACACATCTGCAGGCTGCAGTGTCTTTTCCTTCTGGGACAACATCACTGCTGACAGAGGAGGTTGTGTGGCTCAGGCCCTGTCCATCTTCATGTACGTTTACAATCCAGAGTTTTGTCATCCTGACTGTTCACACTGTAAATTCACAATGTTGCTCTTCTCTGTACACTCCGCCGCCGTCTCGCCTCCTCCTCTCTTCCTGCTGTTTCTTCCATCTTTTTCACCCTTTAGTGTTTTTTGGGGAGGTTTCCTGAATCAGGGTCTTAGGATAGAGGATGTTGTGTGCTGTAGAGATCGTTAAGACCCTTGAGGCAAATTTGTGATATTGGACAACATAAATAAAACTGACTTGCCATAACATACACTACACACTTAACATAGTGCTAGTTTTTTTTTTTCTCTGTCATTTTTTATGATTAATGATGTTAAGGTGAGGCTTTAACATAACGAACCTGTTGTGCTTTGCGTTCACAATGCACAGGTTAAGCAACCCGCAACTCGGACTTGAGGCGCACCTGGAAAGGTGGTCTCAGCAAACCAAACTGAGACTTCCTCAACAGGTGGTCTCAGTTCGGTTCGCTCCAAATGCGCTATGTTGGCAACACTGCAGGCTGTAAACGCCCCCTAATAGAAACTGTTTTCATCACATCATTTTGAAAGAGCAACAGCCAATGGAAAACTCCAACTCAGTCACGTGGCATTCAGCTGACCAATGGTGGAACTATGATTACTCAGTCAGTCAGTGACATATGCCATTGTAGGGCTGGCCCCGCTGTTGCTGTCCAGCCAAAAACTATATACAATGTATTTGTGATGATCAATTAATATCACTCATCTACATCTATTTTGAAGACCCAAAGAAAGAAAGAAAAAGATCCAAATTCTTGTTTCCAATTTCACATTTGTCATCAGAAAAACAGTCTACAGTGTTTTAAAGTTCATGCTGGTTGTTTTGTTGGAGGTCAGCCTGTTCAGCCACATCCTAATCTACCAACGTTTGACCACTGCTCTTCATTAGTCGTTTGCAGAGTGTGTGATTCACAGAGAGCATTAAGTGTATCAATGTACACATGTATGTATGTGTGTTGGCTGCTGTTACCAGTGCAGAGAAGGCCCAGACGTTCTTGTTGAAGAGAAACTCCAGATTGTGTCTTCGTAGATACGCCAGTCCTCCAATCACAGCCAGGAGGAAGCCCAGCAGCAGAGGCCCGGCATAGTTGGGAGGACGGATGACTCGGATCTGAAACACGGGCAAACAGGACTGTGATCACCAGAGGCTGCTGTCATCACGGTCACTCAGACACAGACCTAATGATACAGCTGACACTGACCTGCACATCGGTCCTGTCTGCCACCCATCTGGCCAGCTGCTCGGCTGCGAAGCCTCTGACCTGCAGCTCGTAGGTATCAGACCTGCGAGGTTTCCCTTTGGACGGGAAGTGGAGGAATGTTGGAGCAGAGTTCATATTCAGCTGCAACACAAACACAAATACAGTCACAACAGAGTATGTTTAACAGTGGTTGTTTATCTAATCCAGCTCAACTTTCAACATCTGTAAGTAACTAAAGCTCAAAATAACTAGGAGTTTATTTACAACTATCTGACTTAGGTAAGATAAATTGACCTTTTACCTTTCTTCAATCCTCTAAGCACCTGTACTGTAACACTGCTCATTGTCAGCTGTTAGTTTAAGACAGATGCACATCCACTTACTGATGACACCTCAGAGTCTGAATGAACTGATTGCAAGAACCTGCAGAGCTGTTTCTGGACATTGGTCTAAGAGTTTGTTTCATTCAACCTCTGGTCACTGTCCAGTCCGAGTCTGTCAGTGAGTCTGCTTGTGTCCCTGTCAGGAAACTTCTCCTGGTTATGATCATATGATCACATATACTGAGCTGCAGGTTTTATTACTGTCTGACCATGATCCAATATCCATTTTAATTCTACTTACATTACACAGCTTAGAGCAGTGGCTCTCAAACTTTTTCTCATCAAGGACCTTAAACTGGCACCATATTATTATCTTATAATTAATAGATTTGAATTAAAAATATAACCTGCATCACAGGTTTCTCTTTATGGTTTCCTACATGGTGTACTATAGTGTTTAGTATATTCACCAAAGAGGATGTTGATCTGTTGTGGCAAGAAAGATTTATACAGACTTCAATCCAAGCACAAACACTGTAGACGTGTGGTTCACCAGCAACGTGTCAATGAATTAGATGCAAAACATCAGTTTGTAAAACTAAAAGCAGCTGTCCATGCTCTATTTGTGGACATATCGAAGTCGTGCTTCCTTCCTTGTTTTTCATGGCACATTTTTGTATGTACTTTGGAACATGTCAGCAGCAGTGAACACTACATATGATTTGTTGGCTGAAACACGTCAAAATGTCTTGCTGTGTCTCAAATCAGATACTGCTGCTTTGCACAAGTGACTTACGACCGAACACTTTACTGTAACATTAAAATTGTGCCGTGATCAGCAGTAAATATGAGTATGGAAGAACCTGATTTGATGCACAGTATCTGGTTGTATAAATTGCAGAAGCAAAAACTAACAGAAAAACGTTTTCATTTACACATCTGAAGGTCTACAGGTTTTCAGTCCAACACAACAGCAGCTCAGTTCACTGACCAGTGAGACCAGCTGGCCTCTCAGCCCTCAGTCACACAGACTCTGTCTTCTGGTGTTAATGCATGAATGGCTTTTAGACTTTTAGAAAACAAGATGTTGTCTCACCATCTGAAAGACGTCTGAGCCTTCATCAAAATCAACAGATGCAAAGAAGACTTTGTTGGTGAAGGCAGAGGAATAACGCCAGGAGTTAGCCAGCACCTGAAACTCTTCATCTGCTTGTCTGAAATGAAAACATACATTTAAATTCTTAATTCAGAAAGAAGCCAACAGTAGCAGCAGCATCAGTACTTCTTCCCTCTGCTCCTGCCTTTTACCTGCAGACTCCACACTGTCTCTGTGGCTGCAGCGCTGTGAACATGATGACCACTGAGTAGTTTCTGGGAGGAGCCTTGACGAAGCGACGAAACTTATCTCCGTTCATCCTGATGACTGAACGTTTGGAGGCCCACTCCATCATCTGAGTCACCTTCTCTGACAGTAGAGTCTACACAGGGCAGACAGTGCGTTAGGCACAAAGACAGGAGGACTGATGGAAAAGGCCAGGAGCTGTCCTCAGGCTCAGAAACAACACAGGACCAGACAGACAGCAGAGACAACAAGCAATTCACTCATAAACATAAGAACAATACAAAATATATCCATTTAAAGACTGTTTAAAAAAAGTGGCCAATTCATATCATGTCAACCAGTGAAAATTAATTTAACAATCTACACAGAGTCACCTGAACACATCCAGATGTTCTAAAGTCTTACAGCCTCTGGAATAAACACATGCTTGTTTTAGTCAGGAATATGTTTCACACTGCCTGACTAGGCAGTGTGAAACATATTCCTGATTATATTTCAGACTGCCTGTCCTTAATGACTTCAAATAGTCATTTAGGACATGTGTGTGTATGTGTTGAAGTCATGTGTGTCTAATCACACATAGCAGCCAGGGGTCTATTCCAAAAAGTAGGTTTAGTGAAAACTCTGAGTTCCTTAAATTTGAGATGAGGGAAACTCTGGGTTTTCTGAAACTGAGATCACTTTAACTCAGAGTCACATACCATGGTATCATGGTCAGTTACCATGGTAGCTGACTCCAAGTTTCTGTCTGTTTCATCCTGACAAGCCTGAAGAAGCTGTTTGACACAGGCTTCATGTCCTCATTCATACTATCTCTCTAAGTGCAGATCAGAGACATTTTTTTAAAAAACAAGTTTAATTTAAAATCCTGACTGGACACTAGTTTGTTACCTGAGACCTGTGTTTACGAACATGACCTCTTTTATTATCAATCTGTGATCAGTGTGAGGACAGAGACAGAGATCTGACATTCAAATATTACACATGGTAAATGGTTGAAATATCTATTCAGTCTTTCTGAGACTCTGTGGACATTAAGATACCTGTCAGACTGTCAATCAGCTCCTCTGCACTAAAACATTTACTGAACATTCATCACTGTAAATTAAAAAATATCTGTGTGAAGCTTTAGACAGACTCTGATCTATGAAGAATTTCATTTGTGAGGGAGGATGACAGTAATTCAGCTGAAAATACTTACAAATTTAAAAAATATACATAGTCTGAAAGTGATTTAACAGCATTTCAGCTACTGTATATACAGTCATTGATGCTGTTGAGCAGTAGTGGACATCTGAAAATTTACACTCAGCTTTTACCTCGATGCTTTTTCAACCGAGAATCACCAAAATCATGAAGCTGTTCCTGGGTCAGAATCTGAGGCTACAGTCATAGATCATCATAGACATATACAATCATAGACAACTTCTTTCTGATCTGTTTCATCTATATCTATAAACTTCTGTCTGATCTGTTTCATCTATATCTATAAACCTCTGTCTGATCTGTTTCATTTATATCTACCTTCTCCTGCAGAACTTTGTCTCCATCAGGTCACAGGTGAATAATATATTTAATCTAACAAAAAGCATATTCCAGCTCTTTACATCCATTAAGAATATAAAAGTCTAATAAATAATGTGGTCTAGTGGACGACGCTGAATAAAATGTTATAGTTTGAAATAATTGACTCTTTTCTCCAGCTCAGATTCTTTCACTGCTGCTGCTGTTTTTTTTTTGTTTTTTAGTTTTTTTTTTTTTTTTTTTTAGAAATAAACGTGCTTTAATGTCACATACTCATCTTTCTGGCTCCACTGGATTAAAATGGAGGTTCTGGTCTCTTTATTTACCTGTTACCATGGTGAATTGTTGAAACTGAGCTCCATTGATGATGGCTTTTCATAGTACTCATGCATGCAGTTAACTCAGAGTGAACATACTGAGTCAACATCCTCAAACTAGTTGATTGAACTAACTCAGATCAGCTGTTCTGGAACTGAAAACTCAAACTGGGTTCATCAACTCAGAGTTTGTAATCCCTGCTTTCTGAAATAGAGCCCTGCTGTATAAAGTACTGATCATCTTTTAAACAAAACAACCTTAACAACAGATGTGAGGGATGAGTGTACAGATTGTTCTGAATGTGTTGATGTTATATCTAAGTAAAGATCGTTTGGTAGTTTGTCACCTTTTGTCACCATAAAAACACTAAATACTGTATTCTATAGTTCTCTTCTCTCTTTGTCTTATGTCAGTGATTCCACCTGGGGGTCACGAGCCATCCTATGGGTCACAGGATAAATCTGAGGTGTTCATGAGATGCATTGTGGGATATGTTAAGAAACAAAAACAAAGATCTGCTATCTGAACTGTTATCTCTAGTTTTTAATTCTGTTGTGAAAAACCAGACAATTTCACTTCTCTGGGCCTCAAACATTCAAATGAGGCATATGAGATGATCTAAGGCTGATGTTATACTTTCCACATCTGCGAGTCAGGAGGGTCCACTTCCACCATGGATGCATAGTTGTTCTTATAGTTCGCTTGAAAGACACATGTGCGGTTGGCACCCTTGCACGAACATCTACACAGAGCACCACATGCACCTTCTAATGATGAAATGTACGTCACTAAGACCCTCACAGATGTGTAGAGTATAACATCTGCCTTAAGTGATTTTGCAAAGCAAGTGGAAAACCAGGGGAAAATTATGAATCTGTTGTTAATGAGAGAGGAGCAGCAGGTTAAAGGAGGAAGTGGTGTCAACGGACCTTGGTGAAGCAGTGTTTTATCTGCTGTGCTTAGTTGACGTTAGCTAACGTGAGCTGAGCGGTGAACAAGTTCAACTGCATCAACTCACTGGACCAAAGACTCCCGGTCACATCGGAACCAGTTCACCAGCAGAACCTCTAGTTTTCTAACCGTTATCGGTGTCTATGATTAAATATCTAACACAAGTCATGTATTTAACCACAGTTATTTACTTTTAGACATCCGCAGCAACACGTTAGCTCGTCTCTGCTCAGTTAGCTTAGCTCCTCAGACTGACATGGCTCACAGACAACTTTGAACCCGCCTCAGACTTTTTCTGCAGAGAGTGTGAACTTTGTGAGCTGTGTGTTGTTGAACGTGTGTTACCTCCTTCTTCTTCTGGGCGTCGGTGAGGTCATGGTTGAAAGCCAAGAGGACAAACAGCGAAATGAAAAGTTTTCCAAACATTCTGCAACAGCTCCGACCACTCACTACACCGCCTCCTGTCAGCTCACCATAGGTCAGCTGTCAGCCAATCACAGCGAGCTGTCACTCGCTGCCGCTTTTTTCTCTCAAACTTTATTCACACACACACACACGCACACACACACACACACACACGGACACGCACGCACACGCACGCACACACACACACACACACACGACAACAACGTGTAAAAAATAAAACTTTTTGTTTAACTTTACACTTTATAGTTTAAAGTCATTCATGAAGTGAACTGAGTCTATGACTGTGAGGCGTTGGGTTGATTTATTTACATTCACACTCATGAATAGAATATTTACCCAGTAAGACTATTAAACTGAAAACTGATCCATTTAACTGTAATTTATCATCGTAAAGGAGGATATCAGAGCTTTCAAAAAAACAGGGATATCTATGATTTTAAAGGACAACATGCATGCGTGGACGTCAGGTTTTCAGTCAGTGGTTCACTTGTTACCGGGGTAAATCACCATGGTAACTAATACTGAACTCACCTACTCTGTGGCATTTAAACGTCAGAGGATCAGATCAAAACCTGTCAACAGCCCAACTACTGACCAATCAGATCACTGGAAAAACTGATTCATTATTCCTACAGGGTCCTAACAGGGACAAATGAGTTTACAATAAAGATCAGTATATATTTGTATCAGTGGGTGGTTTTGTTGTTTGAATCATTTCATGTGTCCACTCTGCTTTTAAAACAGAGCTTTTAACAAACAGGAGAGTTTCTCACACTAGATAACTACATAATAACTACTAGAGCTTCATTTTGATTGAGCAAAGATCATTTAATCCCAACAGGATTACGGATATGGAGGACTGAAACTGCAAAAATAAAAAATAAATACATAAATGACTAAAGAATAAAGATAAATTGATATGCCACTTAAAGCACCAAAAATAATATAAAAATACAGCCATTAATTAAGTAAAAACGTGACATAAACTGATATCTGTCTGTTTTAATTTACTTGTGTGTGATTTAGACAGAAATAGGTATAGACAACTAAGGTACTTAGCTAATCTATCCGAAAATAGGTCAGGACTGTTTTTCATGTGGACGCTCTAACTGTTTCAGGGTGTAATTGAGTTCACTAGATGGAAGTGTCTATCTCCTGTTTACCTCTCCTGCATGGACCTCGTGCACCAGCAGCAAGGTATTAATTATCTTTCCACACAGTGATTGTTTGGACCAACGGATAGAAAGGGACCCAGCACAGGGCTGCAGGTGAGCCGGCCCAGTGGAGAAAGCTGGGAGGAATGGACACACAACAGAGCTCCTGACAACAGGAAAAGACCTGTTGGCTTGGTGGATCATCACGCTCGAGCATGAGAGGCGAGTAAAACTGCATGAACTTGTTAAATGCCACACTGTGTGGGTAGTGCCAGTGTTTCACCTTCCACCCCTGAGGTAAACTGGAGCTTGTTGGACCAAGCAGCCTGTAAAAAACAATGTGGGATTCCAATCCATCAACAATGTGGTTTGTCCAAGAAGCTGCAACCAACCGTCTCACCCCAACCCAATGCCCACCACCAGACTTGCACATCCCAACACCAAATTAGCTACCACAGGAGAACAGGACATGGCTGTAAATGCAGAAATGCCTTCTCTCCAATTCTCTTAAGTATCTACACCTGAAAAAAAGCAGAGATGGATGTCCATTTGAACAACAAAGGAGAAGGTTTATGGAACCTTCCAAATCCTCCTTAATGACTTTTCTGAATTGCTGCAGGAAAAAAATAGGATGTTACATTTACAACATCAACAAAACGGATGGCAGGTGCATTAGTAGCAAAGGGGATTGGCATACAGAGGGGCTAAATTGTATGAGGTCTATCAAAAGCCAAGTCCACATCTGATATCGCCTTATCTTTGACATTGAAGAGTGTCACAGATGTATATCATGAGATATGAGATGTGGAGAGATCCTTGGTTAATGATCTGCAGACAGTTAAAGGCACCATGAAGATCCATCAAGTATATGTCATAATGCTGAACCATTACATTTAGCTGAATAAACATTTACTGTATTGCGGTCAATAGGTTTTATTTGCCAATGAGGGAAGATGTGGTCTGGTACACACATGAGAGTGTGGTTGGACGTGTGTCATAACCAAGACCAGTGAAGTCAAGGCACATGGAGCTTAGTGACTTAGTGTGGAAAGAAAAAGTAGGCGTCAGTTTACTTCTCAGGCTGAAATGAGATATAGATGGACTTAGTGCACAAATGTAATGTTGTGGTCAGATGCTGTCAGTGTGTTTGAGTATTAATGCTTGAGCCACATCAAATTCCGGCTAAAATATTTTTGAAACAGTAAAGCCACTTTGACCCGGACTTTACTGCAATACCTCTACTATCTTTGACGCATGAAATACCTTCTGTTTTTCGTCCGTTACGTTTCTCTACAATAGCCTATTGTTTGTGAGTGGTTGAAAAATGAATTGATAAAAATGGAGGTGAACTGAAAAATGGAGTGATAAAATATCAAGTGATGTGATAAATTTAAAGTTGATTTGATTAAATCAGTTGTGATATGAACACAGAGCCATGTTTCATCATTTTCCCATTCTTACATTCATCATTCATAACACAACATTTGCCATTTATCATTTCAGGAAAGTGGCTTCAAGGGTGAAAGTTACAAAAAAATGCATAGGTATTAATAAAGGAAGTGATTAAATGTATGTAAATTGCTTTTTTTCCTTATCGACAGACAAGTGCTTTAAGGTGTTAAGGAAATTGAAAAATAGTGTGATAACTTATCAGTTGATTTGATAAACTTGATTGACATTTTATTTGGAACAGTACTGATCTAATAATCATCTGGGCTGTGTTACTTTACTGAATACCATTCATCATTCACAACCCCAAATGACTGTTATCATTTGCAGCAAGCAATTTTTGTTACCTCTGCCCAAAATGTCAATCAAAAACCATGCCCACTGAATTGTGTGGACTTGGGGCAGCTAAGTGTCGCCAGAATGCACTGCGCGGTGCAGTAACAATGGCGGAAATTCTGAGCCAGGCTCAACCTGTGACAAGAAAGAAATAATAGTAACAAAAACAAAAAGAGTGGAAAACAATAACCTCTCCCTCTCTCTTGGAGAGAATATAAGAATGTCAGATGTCATTTCTGTACCAGTGCCCAAAAGAAGTCTTATTCAAATCAGAATGACATGTTGTTTGAACAAAAACACAAATCATTTTTATATATATTTTGGATTTGCCCCGTTTGTTTCCTTTCTGGACTAAAATTCACATAATTTTGTCTACCTGAAAGCTTGATAGCTATCTCTAGTCTATCCGTAGTTCTCTTAGCAGAAACGTTAGTTGCATTCTAGTTAACTTCGGCTAAACTGCAATATTTCCTGTAGCTATCGAGTAAAGAACTTATAATAACTTGTAATATAACAAGCTAATGTAGCGATTGAGCTAATTAAGGTTCACCATACTACAGGTAAAAATGATGGAAAAGAATGGACAGGAACAGCAGCCGATTTCTTATCTTTATCTTTCTTTACTGTTAACGTTACAGTTCTGGGGCAGAAATGTTAACGGTAACATTAATTAATCCAACGTTCTGTTAGCACAATAATCAACTAATGTCAAGTAGGGTACCACACAGCAGGGTTTGTAGCCAATTCATTGGTATGTCTACTGACCATGGTCGGTAAAACAGATCACTAGTTGGACAAGTGGTCCAGACCATAAGGACCACTGAGCAACTGGTCTGGACCACAAAAGACCACGAGACGGATGTTTGAGCAAATGGTCCGGACCACAATGACCACGCAATGGACCAAGGAAGAACTTACAAGGAGCATATGGACCACTAGTTCATACAAAGCTGCAATATTCAGTGTAACAATAAGAATATAGGCAGTATCGATAAGTCGAGTATATTTAATGGACAGTTATATAACTCACCTGTTTAAATTTTATCTAGGCTGAAAATAATGCACAATGAAGGCGTGGCTGCCCAAAATATGTACTTGCTAGCTGTCTGCTTGGAGTCATCTCAGCTTATTTAAGCCACTGGTTGACTTTGGTTGTATTTGTGGTGTTAATGCCTTTTGGAGGCTTTTTCATGTAAATATCAGACAAATAATATGGCTTGCTGTGAGGTTAATTGTACTAATTAATAATACTTCTCTTCAGAAACCTTCGGCTGACACCACGGAGGTTACATCCATCTTTATATACACTTACTTACCAACTTTAATAAATCTCCATGCGTTCTACCCTTAGAAGGGAAAAGCTCATGTGAATCTTAAAATTGTTTTGCTGGTTGTGTTGTTCATCATTAAATGAAGAAACATCTTCTTGTGAACATGAGCTTGCGATCGAACTTTATTATATTACCTGCGTGCCTCTTCAACATCCTGACTTCTTCAGTTACTTCTTCATAGTGTGTTCCTGTTTCCTAAACGCACCACACTCTCTAACACATAGCTCCCTCTGCTGGTCACCTATGTTATTACACCTGACTCACTGACTATCAGCACATCCCCCTTTCTTTGAGGCTATGAACAAGATAACACATAACTAAACACGTATTTCCTTATATCCATGAGTCATATCAACATCAAAACGTCAACGTCACAGCATCTTTCTTAGCTTGCCTCTGTTGAACATTTCAGAACACTTTCCTGTGTCACTAAGCTCTTTTATACAAATACACAAATTTCAAAGAACATAAATCATGTTTACACATAACATAACAATTCACTGATTTACAAATCAAGTCTAACTGGTCTTTTGATTTGACGCTCAGGCAACTCTGCAGAAGCAGTAGTTTGTCTCTGTCTGCACATGCCCATCTGATTTCAGCTCAGGCACTGTGTCTGCATATGACACAGCATCGATTCCATCTGCACCATCACACTGTGTCTCCTGAAAACTCTCTTTGGTTTTCAGAAGGTTGCGACGGTTCCTTCTGAGTATGTGTCCTTCCTCAGTTCTCACTTCATACGACCTCGGTCCTACTTCCTGAAGAACAGTAGCTTTTCTGTTCCAAGCATTCTGGTCTTGGATTCTCACCACATCATCCTTTGCAAGTGGTTTGAGAACTTTAGTTGACTTGTCGCAACACTGCTTTTGCTTATATTTCAGATTCTCCATTTTTGTCTGAATCTCTTTACTCTGCTTGACTTCTGTGTAGCAGGGCAGGGTTGTGCATAGCTTGCAACCCATCAACAGTTCTGCTGGGGATAAACCGCAGTCAAGAGGAGCAGTCCTGTAGCTCAGCAGAGCTAAATAAGGATCTGACTTACTGTCTGTAGCCTTCTTCAGAAGCTGCTTGATGATGTGCACCCCTTTCTCAGCTTTACCATTTGCCTGTGCATGCTGAGGACTGGATGTGACATGGTGGAAACCATATTGTTTTGCAAACTGCAACCATTCCCTGCAGTTGTAACAAGGACCATTGTCACTGACTACAGTCTCTGGTATTCCATGCCTAGCGAAGATTGACTTGATATGTGTGATGACATTGTTGGCAGTTGCATTTGTGAGCAGAGCAATTTCAGGGAAATTTGAATAATGGTCTATTACCAACACATAGTCTTTCCCATTGTAATGAAACAAATCTGTTCCTACTTTCTTCCAGGGTGCAGTGGGAAGATCAGGAATCATCATGGGCTCCCTTGCCTGTTTGCTCTGATGTCTCTTGCATGTTTCACACTTTCCAATCATGTTTTCAATGTCCTTGTTGATACCCGGCCAGTACACAGTGTCTCTTGCTCTCCTTTTGCATTTTTCTATTCCAAGGTGTCCCTCATGTATCCTGTGTAGTATATCCGGTCTCAGGCTGTGTGGAATTATAATCCTGTTGTCTCTCAACAAAAGTCCACTTGCCACACTTAGCTCTGACCTGACATGATAATATTTTGGGCAGGACCCTTTGGGCCAGCCACTGTGGATGAGTTCCATCACTGTTTGTAGCTCCTTATCTTTAGCTGTCTCTTCTCTTATCCGTTTGGATTTTCGTCAGTCACTGGCAGAGACTCGACTATCATGTTAACGTGACTTTCTACTTCTTTTTCGGTGGAGCTTGTGTGACTCATCTCTGGCGCTCGTGAAAGTGCATCTGCTAACACTAGGTGTTTGCCTGGCGTGTATATCAACTCGAAATCATACCTCTGCATTTTCATGATGAGGTGCTGGATCCTCGGCGACATATCATTCAGATTTTTTTTGATTATTGACACAAGGGGGCTATGATCTGTCTCGACTGTGAAGGTGGGAAGGCCGTATACATAGCAGTGAAATATCTCCAGTCCATAAGCCAGTCCAAGACATTCTTTCTCAATTTGGGCATATCTGGCTTCAGTCTGAGTCATAGATCTGGATGCATATGCAACTGGCTTCCAACTTTCTCCTTCAGCTTGAAGCAATACAGCACCAAGCCCGTCCTTCGATGCATCTGTAGAAACCTTCAGTTTCTTGGTTGGGTCATAATATGCAAGCACAGGGGCAGTTGTCAGAGTGGTCTTTAGAGCATTCCATTCCTGCTCATTTCTCTGTGTCCACTTGAATTCTGCGGAATCATGGAGTAGCTCTCTTAGTGCTGACGTTCTCGCTGACAGGTTGGGAATTAACTTTCCGATGAAGTTTATCATCCCCATCACTCTGAGCACACCTTTCTTGTCTGTGGGGCGTTGCATGCTAAGGATGGCTTTTATCTTTCTTTCATCTGGCTCTACATCTCGAGCAGACAGTATGTCCCCCAAGAATGTTACCTCACGTACACCAAAATAACATTTGGAACGGTTTAGCTTTAGGCCATTTTCACGTACTCTTGGCAGCACCTTTGTTAGTCTTTTGTCATGTTCCTGTAAGGTGGAGCCCCAGATTACTACATCATCAACATAACAACGGACCCCTTCTAAACCCTCTAACATGTTGTCCATGGCACGATGAAAAATTTCAGAGGCTGAGATTATGCCAAATGGCATTCTGAGAAATCTGTATCTTCCATAGAGTGTGTTGAAAGTGCAGTACCTTGAACTTTCGTCATCCAGCTTAATTTGCCAGAATCCCTGCGCTGCATCTAGCTTTGAGAAGTATTTGGCTCCAGCCATCTCACTTGCAATCTCCTCCCGCTTTGGAATCTGGTAGTGCTCGCGTTTGATGTTTTGGTTTAAATCACCAGGGTCCATGCATATCCTCAGTTCTTTGTTTTTGTTCTTCTTGTCCACACAGACCATTGAGTTCACCCATTCGGTTGGTTCTTCCACTTTTGTGATGACCTTTAACTGAGACATTCTGTCCAGTTCCTTTTTGAGGCGCTCCCGAAGTGGAGCTGGAACTCTCCGTGGTGCATGGATTACTGGTTTTGCATCCTCTTTTAGTTGGATTTTGTATCTGTATGGTAGGCATCCCAATCCATTGAAAACATCTTGATAACGCTGCACTATGTTGTCAACTGTGCCTGTCTGTGTACTTACTTCTTCTGAGCAGTTGATGTGGTAGACTCTCCTCACCAGATTTAGTTTCTTTGAGGTTATCCCACCTAGCAGCGACTCACGGCCCTCAGGAACAACAGAAAACAGTATATTATAGTCTTTGTTCTTTACTGTGACTTTGAGTCTGCACTGACCTCTGCTTTTGATGTCCTTTCCCTAATTATTTTGGGCTTTTCTTTCATAGCATTAATTTCTGTCATGCTAATCAGGTTTGCTTGTGCGCCTGTGTCAATCCTTAGTGCCACTAGAGCTCCATTTATTGGCAGTGATACAATCCATGTGTCTTTGTCTTTTGTGTCTGTCATTTTCCTTTGTGTTACTGTGCTCATTTTCAATGTGGTCACATGACACCATCCCCACAAAGAAAGTCTCACTCAGGTTAGTTTTCTCAACTAGCCGCACTGATTTGGGCTTGCCTTTGGACAGACATTGTTTAGCAAAATGATTTTTTCCATTACATTTTGAGCATCTTTTGCCATAAGCAGGGCACTGCCGGGGCTCATGTCTGCCACCACATCGTTTGCAGGAGTCATCTGTGTTTCTCTTTTGTGGCAAATTCTTTTTCATCTTGTTTTTAACTACAGCTACTTTTGCATCATTTACTGTAATGACACTTTTTTGATCGAATGTCTTTACATGCTGCTGGGCTAGCTCATTTGCATTGGCACAGTCTCTCTGCCTCGTCAAGAGTTAGCTTAGCCTCTCCTAGCAGCCTTTCCCTTGTCCGCCTATCACTGATCCCATACACAATTTGATCACGGATCATGGAGTCCTTTAGATCCCCAAAGTCACACGACTGTGCTTTCAATTTTAAGTCTGTCACAAAGCAATCAAAAGTCTCGTCCGGCTGTTGCATCCGCGAGCGGAACACGTACCTTTCATACACTGCATTTTTCTGCGGAGAACAATGGGTACCGAATTTTTCCATCACTTTGTCGTACTTATCCCTGTCATCAGCGTCCTCCAAGTCGAAAGTGTTGAAGACTTCTATGGTTTGGGGACCAGCTACCATGAGTAGCAGCGCTATTTTCCTGGTGTCGGATTTAGAGTCCAGTCCGATGGCAGACAAATACAGCTCGAACCGCTGCTTGAAAGACCGCCAATTGCTGTCGACATTTCCCACCAGCTTCAGTCCCTCCGGTGGCCTCAAAGTCTCCATTTCGAACGAAACTGATGCTTGTTGAATAATTCACTCCTGTTACCATGTGTTGTTCATCATTAAATGAAGAAACATCTTCTTGTGAACATGAGCTTGCGCGCGAACTTTATTATATTACCTGCGTGCCTCTTCAACATCCTGACTTCTTCAGTTACCTCTACATAGTGTGTTCCTGTTTCCTAAACGCACCACACTCTCTAATACATAGCTCCCTCTGCTGGTCACCTATGTTATTACACCTGACTCACTGACGAGGCTGAACCTTTAGTGCAAATGGATGTCCATCTCTCCGTCTCCGCCTTACGGCGGGCTGCGGCAGTTACCTTCTCACAGGAAGCACTGAAGACAGTTTTATTTTGAATACACCGGAAGTCCATACACAACGGTTACAGCAACTTGACTAACGACCTTCTGGGGACGGCAGCTGGTAGCTAACCGTGCACACAAGTCTTCAACGAGGCTAACAGCCGTCCGTGTACACTGTGAGGTATAGTAACCTTACTGTGTCTGTCTCTCCGTCTGTCTGTGTCACTCCCCACCACTCTGTCTGTCTGTGTGTTTGCCTGCCATATGAAATCACCTGTAATGAATGAACGAGGCTAAGTTAGCTAGCTTAAGTTGAACTTCGGACATTAAATGTTTGAAAGCCTGTCTCAGAGCCGATGTGTGCTATAATGTCATGGTTTAAATATTCCTACACTCCACCCCGAGAGAGCCGTCAGAATATAACTATAGTTAATGGTAGAAAGGTCACGCTTTGTCATTTGGAACAATCTAATCACTGACATTGCTAACAGCTGTCTACATGGCTCATCGGGAGCTCTACATAGCTTAGTGCATAACAGTCCTCACGTTGACTTAATTGTATCTGACGGGACTACATTGCTGGATAAAGGTGGCTCACAGCATCTTTGCTCTCTTCCTTCTTCTCATCTTTCCCGGCGTCATGTGAGCTATAACACGGTCCAGCCAGCCGCTGCGCTTCTGCTCCTGTCATGTCACGGTTACTATGCTAGGTGCAAAGGGTGAAGGTTGACATTATGGTAAGGTAAACGGTCACGTCAGTCTCTCACGTGATGTTTGAAATGTGATCATTTGTAACCAGAGGCCTCTGAATTTCTAAAGTGGTTTAGGTGTGCTGAAACTTCCAGTGACTTCACACTGGTCTGGACTATCCACAAACAAAAATGACCTGTGAAGAGAAACAACAGTAGGTCAAAACCTGGTTTGTGGCTGGACCATGTATGGGTATAAATTCAAAATTGAGGACATAGTTTAAACTGTTATTGAACCGCTGTAAACTGTTAAAGCCTGCTCGAAAAGTTGCTATACGTTTCAAGATGACTGACACAAATGATGATATTCATGACATCATCACATTTGCATTCTGCCTTGTGTTCAGCCCATCGTGTGGTTGCTTCTCTCCTCTCTGTGCTCACATATACCGGATTTTAATACAGCTGAATTCACAATAAAGCTGTTCTCATTTACATGTTTTTCTGTTTCTGTTGTCAAACAATGGAACAAGTTTGAAACAGTGACTGAAATGTGGCCCACAAATACTACATGTTATTAATCACTTTCTAATTTCACTCTCTACAATGGAAAGTTGCTAAGGCAAAAGCTAGATTTGTTGGTGGGTGCTTTTTTGAAAAAGAAAAAAAAAATTAAAGTCGGTAAATGTAGTGAGAAAGGTCGGCAACACTGCCTGTAAACCACATAATGTAAATAAAGATGTACTGCAACGTCACCCACAGGTTTCTAAAGAGCCGTTTTGAAGCTCAGAGTGAGCTGCTCCATATTGACAGTGTCTGACTCATAGACTGTATATAAAAATAACCGTAGGCTGCGGGGCTGAGAAGTGAAGCCAGTGCAGAAGTGACTTTAAGTGCAATACCACTGAGAGCTGCTAGGGGCGGGCTCCAAAAAACTGGCTCACCAAGCACCAATTTCTCTTATGAAATAATCAGTCAATACATTTTTTCCACAACTCATTAAGGTGTCAATAGCTAAATTCACACCTCTCGTTCAGTGTTCTGGTGGTCCATCTGAAAATAATCATGTAATTAATTAGATATTAGGCCTTAAAAACAGGTATTTTTAGGGGCGTGCCTCTTTGATTGACATGCCTGGTCTGCCATGATTGATAAGGTGATGAGGCAGGCCGGGAGGTAGGTCAACGGAGGATTAGTCACCGGGAGAGTTTGGGTTGCATGCGCAACGTTTAAAGTCAGTTTCAATTTCTATAATTTCTATAAATTTTCTATATAAATTAGTTTTCGGTTCCCCCGAAATTATGGCTCATTCTTGGGCATTAACAGACTGCAGGGATGCTGATATACATTTTTTTTCAGTAAGTGAATGTTTATTTTCTTATGAGTTTTAATGTGGATGATATTCCCTAAAAGCTAGTGCGTTTTTTTTCCTACGTGTTTTTACCAGAAAACGGGAGACAGTTAACATCCAAGTTAATATTAGAGTTAATGTGAATTATGGATGCACTTTGATAACATAGCTAGCTAGCTGATAACTTCGTGTTTGCTAAGAACAGAATTTATAAATATTAAATTGCAATTAAGTGACTAGCTCAGTCACCACCTTCACAGGTGAAAGTATTGACCAATTTAACATCAAAATGGTGTTTAGTAGGAAACAGATGGAACTGACCAACCAGAGTGCAACCTGGAGCAAAACAAGACTCTAAATAGATGTGTGCTGCTGTTACCTCATAGATATATGTATTCGCCTTACGCACTCTTTAGTGTGAATTGAAAATTGACAGTTAAGATTTTGAAGTAGATTTCAGTATAGTACAGCTCATATACATTAGTTTGAGTCATAACTTAATTGTTGTCATTGAAAAGGATTTTAATAAATAAACCTGTGATTAAATTGTACTGAGTATGTTTCTCCAAATTGATCATATGCCTCATGATGAATCTAACAGGACACTTTGGTGAATTAGTGTTTTCAGTGGTTTTAAAATTGGTCAGAACAAATGACACATTAGAAAAACACAAACTCTAATATCTATCTCTAGAGCCATCACTGTCAATGTTCAAGGACAGCAACATTTAAACATTTCTATCATTTGTTGTTGATTAAAGCCAACAGAAATAGTCTTTAGGAAAAACTTTCATCATTGTGTTCTTGTATTTAGGGCTGTCCCAAACGATTATTCTTTAAACGATTAATCTAGCGATTATTTTTTCGATTATTCGACTAATCTACCGATTATTTTTTTTATTAACCTAACAGTAATTTGCGAGTAGTGTGCGAGCCTTTTTTGCCGCGTGTTGCTCCACACGCTCCGTCGTACTGCTGGTAGACGCCGCCATGTTGTTCAAATAGATTACACAGACGCAAATCTTTTTTTTTTTTATTCTTTCACAGACGCAAATCATTAACGTAGTCAATGACTTCAATTACGTCACCGCGTTGTCCCAGCCCAAGCGCTGCACTTGTATCCGGGTAAACTAAAGACGATGGATATAAACGGTCCCATTAGAAAGTTCCTGTTTTGTTCTATGAACATTTACCCTGTGTGGTTTTACACGATGCGTCGACACTAAAATTCCACGTCGAATAATTTTTATAATCGACAACGTCGATTACGTCAGATAATCGTCCCAGCCCTACTTGTATTATTACAACACTGTGCATGTTGCTTTTGTTAAAATTCATACCAGACATGCTCCATGACAACCATCAACAAAGTTAAAGCAAAGCTTCATAAATAACTTTATTTCACATTAAAAACTGCATTTATTTCAACAATTTACACCACTGGAGAGGTGTACAAAAGAATGTAATTGCCAAATTAAAGATAAAATACAGTTGTGGATGAAGGTACAGGTGAACTTCACAGTTATAAGATAAGTTTACATGATAAAGAGAGGTAGATGAATCCCCAGTGCAACATCATTTTTAGTAACAAGTATAAATTATAGTAGAAATGTAAAAATAGTACTAAGTGAGGATAGTGCAACAGTCTGTTCACAGGTCGACTGTAAGCCATTGCAGTCCTCCATAAGTGATGGAGGTAAGGTGCAAAAAGTGCAGGGGCCGTTACTCATCATCAGTCTTCGTGTGTGACAAAGTTTACATGTTGCAGGCTCGCAGTTAGAGGGAGATGCTGTTCTGAAGTCTGTTCATTTTCTGCAGCACCAATTTAAAATACAATGTTAGAATGTTTTATACTGTGGTTTTACAGTTTAACGTTAGCTTACACACTAGCTTCAGCTACAATAACATTACAAGTTACTCCTCATATATATTTATGACATTGTGAACATGACATGTATGCAATAAGCTTCTAAGACTACTTTAACAGTTAGCTATAAAGTTTACTTCGCATTGTGAAAGCTAACGGTGTTAGAAGCGTCTTCGTATGGCGCAGCCAGGAGCCTGTTGCGGTCAAGTTACCGGTGTAGGTGGGCGTGCTTAGTACACGGGTCAGATCCACCCCTCGCTCCCGCGGCGTCCATTAAGCCAAACCCGTGGCGGAATGGAGGTTAGCCTCTTGTTCTGTCTCCACCCCAGCTAATTCAAAAATGGGCAAAGAGGTGGGGTGTGTCTGGGGCTGGGACTTTGATGCTTACTGATTTGTGGCAACCATACACTCACCCGCCTGTCACTCAAACATCTCATCTCACTGCGCTGCAGAACAGAGAGGTTCAGGAGATCCTTTGTTCCCACTGCCATCAGACTATACAACACCTCAACCAAAGGAAGTGGACTAATCTAATTATTATTGTTTATTTATTATTAACTGTTTTTATTATTGTTATCATTATTATTATTATTATCAACAATGAGCTAATGGACACATGAATTTTCCCTAGGGGATAAATAAAGTATCTATCCATCTATCCATCCATCCATCCAAGTGACCACACCCTCAATTATACATAACTTTAAGCCTTGATAAAAAAGTAAAGTTTTGTATTAGCCAGAAGTTGATGGAGTCAGGTACTGGCAACGGAGGCTACGTCCATCTTTATTTACAGTTTATGAATTGACCAACTGTTGTAGCCAGACTCTAGTTGTTATTAGAGGATCTACAGGTTTTGGTATATCAGTGTTAGCTTCAGTATTGCAGCCTCGGAGGTTGATGCTTGCTGTAAACGTCTTGATGACATAATAGACATTTATTTTACTTTTAGCTCCGGTTTAGTCCACCAGCCGTGACAAAGGTACAGCTGCTTCTGTGCTCAGAGCTCTTTGTAACCCACAGAAGGCAATGAACACCTGACACACAATGACACATTGAGTCTGACATCTTTAATACGATATGATGCTAGAGAAAGTATTTTCTGCACATTCTGCATGAAGTGTCTCTCTCTGTAGATGCCAGGTGCTGGTCCATGGGTGTGAGCCGACTGGATGTATTTTACAGACGGCTGCTCCTCACCAAACTCTTCATTGGAGGATGGGGAAAGCCTGAAGACCTCAAGAGGTACGGAAAACAGAGAACACAAAAGAATACAGCTAGACATAACGAGTGTCGAGAAGCATGGCAGCTAATACAGAAGAATACAACAGGGTAACCTCTTCCAACTCTACCTGTAGGATTTCTGCTTGTGCACCTGTTTTTTTTTAAAGATAAAATAAATTCTTACTTTTACTCCTACGAAAAACTTTAGAAGAATGCAAGATGCTTATCTTCCTTTCAACTTGAAACACAGTCTTAACAGTACAGATACACAGGTGAGCACTAGCTTTCTGAATAACTACAATATATCAGTAGTCATGATGAATATTATGTTATCTGGAGAAAGTTGTAGCCTACTTCTCCCTTGTTATCTTTATCTCTAAAAATCTTTTCTTTTGCATTCATCAGGAACAAATATCAAGAATTAAGCTGACAAAGAGTCTGTTTGAAATCATTTTCCATGCATCTTCACTGTCTGCATTTGTAGTTCTGTATCTGTTTTCTGTATTGTACCTCCTCTGTCAGCAGCAGAATTTCCTCTGCTCCAGTTTTTCAGCCTAGTTTATATTGTTTCATTCTCATTTATAAATAAGTGAATCTGGTGGTACGCTCAGACAGATTATGAAGGCCTTTCTCAATACAGAGTACACCAAGTTTGGACTTGGAATCCAATGTCCTTGCTAATAGCAGCAGCTGAACTCGCCAGTGATCATTATACCCTATAGGCACAGGAGTCTGCTGTTCATTCTAACCTGTTTGTTTGCAGTAGGAGTATCATGTATTATAGGTTTGCTAGAGTACTAAGTGATCCAGAGCTCTGTGGGAGCATTGCAAACACTGATATGCCCTATGTGATGTGACTCATTGGTCCCTGCAGCAATGAAGCCTGTAGTTTGTTTTATGGCACTTTATTTGTCAGTAGAAGAGAAGGCTTTTGTCTGACTGTGGGATCAGAGTGTGAATCTAAACAGTCTATAAGACCTTAAATTTTCTTAAAGAATATTTTTAAACTGATGCATTAGAAGAGGTGAATATAGTGATTGACACTGGATATGGAGCTCATGTTCTGCCCTGTTTGTGTTTTACAGAATCTTTGAGTTCCGTAAGATCATTGGAGACAGAGAGAAGTGCGAGTCTCTGGTGCCTGAGGACTATCCAGTTTACACAAACAAGGTACCCCATGTGTCCTCTGCTCACCAGTATATACCAAGTATTTATTTTTGTATTCTCACAGATATGTATGTTTGTGTCCAGACAGAGGAGCACTCTGACTGTCTGATCCACGATGGGTTCTTCATCTCTCCTCTGGAGCACTTGGTTCCCGGAATCCTGCCACAAGAGGCCGTCAAAGCCAGGTAGACAACATGATGTGGTCCACTCTGTCTCTACTGCTAACATGATGGTGTAAGAGGAGTTGATACAAGCCCTGTGATCACTGGAAGCTGTGAAGGGATCGTTCTCTTTCTGGTGAAATATGAGCGTAGGAAAATGGAAAACGTTTCTACAGTTACTAAAATACATATTAACAACAAATGGATTTTAATCCAAAGCTAGGATTTTATGAGGCAAAATGCAAATGCAATGCATCAATTAAAGAGAAATTCAAATAAAACAAGTTCAAGCAAAGAAGAGACGCATTGGAAGAAATGCAAGGAAACAGGTTGATAAATAAATTGATTGTCAGGTCTTCACAGAATGAAATGGGTTGGTGGAGGAAAGAACGGGTCAGAATGGAGGAAGTCAGATGTCTACGACAAAATGATTTAATAAATGTTTCACACAAAGCTTATTGTAATGAAATATTTTCTCTCTGTTCACAATTAGAGTTTGTTTCAACAGCTCCATTATTATTTCCAAAACATTCTACACTGCAAATATTTTAATTTCCAAGTTCTTTTTGACTTGACCAATATACACAGTTCCATTGTTTCACATTGTGTCAAAAGCCATTTTTATACCGGACAAAAAACCTGCTAACGTCTGGCTTTTGTCATCAATGTGAAAGGGTACAATCAGCATTCACTCCCGGGTCACATGACTCCGCAGTATTCACAGGTATTTATTGGCTCCATTTTCGATCGGCAGTGATGTAAATAGGCTGCCTGGGTAAACTGGCTAATTTCTGCCCCTCTTTCAGACGGAAGCATTTTACCAGTCTGCATGGCAGCCAGCAGCTCACTGTTTGACTCTGTGAAGATATTCCCTCCCCTGCTGTGTGTGTGTCTGTGTCCTTCTGTAGTTGTTAGTCTGAACAGAAAGGCAGATTTATCTGGTAGTGTGAAAGGAGTTGATCGCCTTTTTAGCAGTTTTATCTGCCTTTATAATAGCCATTTATACGAACTGATTGTGGTGTACAAAGGGTAATACCAATAAAGACCCTCACCAAACAGGGTCAGGTCAGAAATGGTTGATTACATATTGTGATTAGCCAATGAGCCCAGCCCCAGCACATGCATGACTTAGCTCTGTGCACCCTGAATGACAGGCACACAGAAGGTCGGTAAAGAGACAGACAGGGACAGTAAATACTTGATGTTGATATTGTGGTGGGTCACAAGAGATAAATCAATGTATGGGAAACACTGGACCTTATGAAACACTATCATTAATGTGTTGCAGAAAATGTATTGCGCAACAATAAGAACGTAAATCACTAACTACAGCCCCATCTACCGTTGTCTGTCATGATGTGTTTGTGTACTGTGGTCCTCACAGTGTGTCTGTTGTTTCAGGTTCCAGTTCATAGTCCCTAAGAGGTGGCAGAAGAACAGACCAGTATGTATCCACTTGGCTGGGACTGGAGACCATGTAAGGCTCTTAACCTCTTCACCTCAACATAACGTGAATATCATCAGCAGATACTCTTAACTTGATCCTTTTTGTCTGTACTGTCTGAAGTATTTACTGTGTGTGTTTTTTTTGTGTGTGTGTAGTTTTTCTGGCGTCGGCGGACCCTGATGGCCAGGCCCATGATCAAAGAGGCAGGAATGGCTTCACTTCTTCTTGAGAACCCGTATTATATCCTTCTTTTTATTGTCATCTTACATCTGTCACCGTGTTTTTTAGTTTATGGTTATTTCCTTTGAAAATAATTCTGCTGGACACCCCTTGGTATACTCTATTTTAATTGCACAAGCACGGCAACAAACACAACTTGGTAATTGTTAGAGCACAGGATGTGTGGGCATCTCCAGCTGCTATTTTAGTTCACGTAGAAGCAGCAGTGCAAAGTGCAGAAGGGCTGGGTGAAGGTGGATTTAGATCAGATGATGTGATGATTAATTAAAACACTTTCAGCCAATCACATTACTGGTCTCATCGCTCTGAAACAGCTGAGCCAGTGAAGCATGACGACAACAGGCCAACCAATGGAAAGATGATGTCTGGATGATGCAGAGATGCTGTTTCAGTTTAAGTTCTGTGTCACATTCAGCAGTCTGCCCGATTCTGCTCTTCAAGAATTAAACATGAAACACCACTTTGTAAAAAGAAAGTTGAAAGGTTTGATGCACACACCTCTACGTATACCTAACGTGTAGAGATGTGTGTGCTTATTATGCAGCATCCTGGTGTCATTTGCATGTGAACTAATCAAAGTAAACACAGATGACATTGTGTATAATGTCACTGCACTCTGACACCACACTTAGAGGCTATCGGCCAATCATGTTGCAGAAGTCAGAAGCAAGCGCTTCAGTTAATGTTCACATCAAACATCAGAATGAGGACAATTGTGACAGTGCCTCTGACTGTGACATGATTGTTGGTGTCAGACCCTGGCATGGGTGTTTCTCAAACTGCTGATCTCTTGGATTTTTACACACAATAGTCTCTAGAGTTGGTCTTTACTCAGAAGTGAGCAACAACAACCATGGACCCAACCTGCCTTGTGTCAACAAGTCACAGTCTATCAGTCATAGTCATTACTTCTTCATGTGTAGAATCAGTGAAGTACCCCTTTAAGTGTGTATATTCAATGTTAACCCAGTAGCTTATGTACATACCAGGCTAACAGATTAGCACCATTGATGCTTTGGAAACAAACACTGATGAAGACGATAAGAGTGTGTGTTGGTGAAGCCAGCACATTAATCAGTAGGTATAAAGGAGAACATGCACATGGGATTGAACTCCATTCTCTGGTTGAATGTTTGTGTTATCCTTATTGTATACTGTCTTTGCACATCTGTTTATTCCTTAACTATACTTTTACATGGCTATCGTAAACCCAAAGACCAACTGTAAGTTCACTCCGTCACACACTGTTGACTTAATTGATTACCATCATGAAACTTGGGTTTTTATTTTACCAAAAGTACGGTGGCCTCTAAGAACAAAGCGTTACGGCAAATGTGGTACAAATCCAGAATAAGACATGAAACGACCTGTGAGCGGCGCCATTTGGATAACAGCTACATCAGGTATATTTATTTCTAAACAGCCTTTTTTTCTTAAGGTGAAAAAAATCTAATTTATAGTGAGTATAGTAAAGAACACACCTATTGTCCAATTAGCAACAATTATATTTCAATTCTGAGACCAAACTTTATCCAGGATGTCACTGACTAACTGACAAAATGACTGAGTGATGAAGTTACACCATTGATGAAAGTTTCCTCATTGGGCGTTGGATCTTTCAAAATGATTTGTTGCGAACAAGCAGTGTTGCCAACTTAACACCTTTGTAGATTAATCCACTTTTCAGACCCTTTAGTGCCTTTTTCTTTAGCTACAAAACTATTGCTTTGGACAAACTTTAGCTGCCCTGTGAGTGTAAGGTCGGGCTTTCCCTCCACAAACGCACCTGTCTATGCTGATGCATGGCAGCTGATGTGAATGCAGTTCTACCTTTCTCTCTGAGGGATCAATTTGCAGTAAATACAGCTGAAATCACAGCACACTCTTCAACTGATGTCTTTGGTGATTAAAAAGTGACTGCTGGTTAGTTTGAAACTTATTCAAACAAGTTGTCGTGACAACAGAAACAGAAAAACATGTCACTACTAGACTGAAACCAGCTGACACTAGACTGAAACCAATTGATAATTGACTGAAACCACCTGATACTACACTGGAACCAGCTGACACTAGACTGAAACCAGCTGATACTAGACTGAAACTAGCGGACACTTGACTGAAACTAGCTGACACCAGCCTACAACGTGGTCCAGCCATATACCTGATTTTGAACTTATCTTTCAAGTCACTGGAGAACAGAGTTTTTTTTAGATAAGGCTGTTCTCCCTGGGAGAAGGTGCACATTTACCAGCTGGTCTTCTCTGGAGAGTGACTGTGAGATCCTGAGAAGACTACTGGTCTCACCTGGCAGGGAGTCATCATATCTCAGAAAACACCAGAGCAGATTTCCAAATAAATGTTATTTGGTAAACTGACCAAATACTGAAAATCAAAATGGCTACTTTCTGGCCTGAAAACATACCAAAATTTATAATTGTTTATATTAGGTACATGAAGTCTTGCTGGCATAAGTATCTGTAAAGTTGTTGTGTATCCAAATGGAGCCCATCACTCCCCCTGGTGACTTGGAGCAACTCCACTGTAGCAATTCTTGTTTCATGTGTTTTCCCCATTTTTATGAGTTTTCTTATTTGTTGTATTTCTGGATTCGGAGCGCGTTTCCTTTAACGTTTGTAATTTCTCTGTTGTATGTGCTTTGTCCTTAGGGGCCACCATACAAGACCCTGCCTTTGTGGTGGTGTTGTTTGTAGTGTGCTCCTTCAGAGGATAGCAGCTGTCATCTTGGTTTCACACCAGTTACAGTGGATCCCCAAGGAGATGCACACAACAGCAACAAAGCTAAAACCACATGTTCTCTGTTGCTCTGTCAGCTCCTCATCCAAAGCTCCACTGGAAGTTGTTTATTTAAAGGAGCTATTTGTAAGTTTTGCTTTTGCTACATAGCTAGCATCAGCATTAGCAGCTTTTTACTTACCAGTCTAGAAGAAACATTGTGAGTTCAGCATCAAACTTCATTCCTCATTCCCTACTCACCAACAGCTGGAGGTGGAAACAAACACCAATGTTAACTCTTGTCTCTATCACATCTTTTCTTCTACTGAAGTTAGCATGCTAACCAACTAGCTTTCTGATACTGAATAACTGTAGCCCCCAGTCTGTCCTGGAGAAATAGCTGCTCAGAGGACACCTTTGGCATTGCAAAGACAACGATGGCTGAAGCAACAATCACCACCACATGCTCACCACAAGAAACTATGTTCAGCAGCAGAGAAAACGTACAAAGAGCTCCTTTAAGTCAAGTCAGTTTTATTTATATAATCCAGTGACACTTTCTGTTCTTGGACCCTCATTCAGAGAAGGAAAAACTCTCCTCAAAACCCCCAAACCCTGCACTGGTGAAAAAGATGGAAGAAACCTCAGGAAGAGGTTTCCTCTTAATTGTAGAAAAATTATTTAGTGATTTATTTGGCAAAGCAGAAATTGTCTGGTACATACTAAAACTGGCGATCAGTGGATTATGCTATAGGAGTGATGAGAGAAGTTTATATGGATGGTTTGATGGTTGGAATCCATTTTAACTGCTGTAAATTCAGGATAATTCCAGCTATCATTCCTCTATGAAGGATCAAACTACAAACTGCTCAGAGCTGCCTGCTAACACTACAGGAGATGATGGTTTCATACTAAGATAGATTTTCATGGACCCATCTTTTGAACCTGCAATTTATTCAGTGTAAAATAAACAGGGACATTATGTGTGAGTTGTTTAGGCGCTCCAGTCTGAAGAATGTGTCAGACCTGTTTGTCATGGGAGGGGCTTTGATCCTGGAGTCAACGGTGCTGCTCCGCTGGCTGCATGGACAAGGATACTGGCCCCTGGGAATGACTGGCATCTCCATGGGAGGATATGTGAGTCACCAGAACAGCACAGTCTTTCATCTCCTTTTATCAAACCCTACACGATCCACTAGTATTCCTCTAAATAACTAGTCAACATGCCATGTCATCCTGCAAATGCATAGTCACCAGCATCTTACTACAAATTTGAAAGTAAATATGATACAAACAGGCCACCATACAAGTACAAATGGGTCAAATATAATCCTGTACCTACTTCTATCCAAAGATCCTGTTTTTCATTAAGTCTTTTGTTGTCCCTGTGTCCAGATGGCGTCCCTGGCAGTGACAAACTGGCCGAAGCCTATCCCTCTGGTTCCCTGTTTGTCCTGGTCCACTGCCTCCAGTGTCTTCACCACGGTAACATACTCTCTGTACCTCACATGCAGTGTAAAGACGTTCAGTTACCAAAGCAGCATTAAAGTTGACATAATAGTCAAACATTGTAGGTGAGGTGCTGTAACTGTTCTCCCTCCTTTCTGGTTGAAGGAAGCTGTGACAGCATGCAGTCAAACAGTGATAGGTTTAATGCTGTTTTACCCTGACCCATTCCACATCTATATTTAAATTTTTCAAACAAAAGTAAAGTGATAATTGTTTGGTTTGGTTAAGTGTAAAAAGCAGGTTGCATTATTCTCTAGTGAGCTTTAACAGGAATATTGTCATAACTAAGAGATGAATAACAGTATAATATACTCGTTTACTTGCTGCTGCTGCTGCTGCTGCTGCTGGCTCTTAACACTTAGGAAGAAAAGACTTTTTCTAACATGCTAATTTAGTTTCCACATTCCACATGCATGCGTGTAATGCTGCAATATCAGAACTGATCTCAGAACAGTAGAAGAATTGTTCTATTCTATGTCTATTTTTAGCTTTAACTGTGCAGGTGCTGGTTGCCTTGTTTGCCCTAACAGCATGCCACTGCTCTGTGCATTTATCTGCAGCCTGCACATCTCAAACCTCTGACCTCTGCTCTGACTGTGTGTGTGTGTGTGTGTGTGTGTGTGTGTGTGTGTGTGTGTGTGTGTGTGTGTGTGTGTGTGTGTGTGTGTGTGTGTGTGTGTAGGGTGTGCTGAGTAAAGCAGTGAACTGGTCAGAGCTGGAGAAGCAATATGCCATTAATTCAGTGTATGAAGAGGAGATCATTAACCTGTTGGAATACTGTGGGGTACGTTATCCTCTGCAACTTTTTTTGATCAACACCTACTCATAGTCTCCAGAACCAGCCTGGTACAACTTGCTATAAGGTTACAGTTTAAAATGCTAATGGGTTCGTATCAAATTATCAAATCAATTAGTTGACTAATAAGTTTATCAATTGAAAGAAAAATTATGTTTCGTATCAGCATGAAAGGACAGTGTTTTGCTGTTTGTTTTGCCAAATAATCAGAAAACATTGCAGATCTTTAATATCTATATATCTCTGGTAACATGATAAGCATTTGTCTTTATTTCAATCAGAGAAACTTGGAGGAATTGCCCATTGATTACAAATGGTTGGACTTTGAGGTGACTCTTTGAAGAAGTTCTCAGTAAGTACATTGTATCTGTCTTTTGGTCTTTGTGTCCACATCCATCAGGCTGATTCCTTTAAAATGGGTCAATACCTTGGGAGGAATATGGACCCTATAGAGCATCTGCTGGGTGTGTCTGGAGGGGACAGAGCGTCGGTGGACCGGTTTACCAAAGCTGGAGGGGAAGCTGAGGCGGGACATGGCCTGTTGTTTGGTGGAGGCCCTGGAGGGGGCGGGGCTGGAGACAGATTAGACCATTTATTATCATCAGTGAACAGCAGGGGGACAAGTTTGGACTCTCTACCAAGGTAAACAAGACAGATTATTATGAATAGAAACTTCTAAATGTCTCGTTTGCTGTTTTGTAAGTTTTCATGTGTGTAACAGCCACTTTTACTCAAAAATACATCTGTGACTTTCCTTTTTTTGTTTCTGGACACGTTCCACATGCTCCAGTGACACAACACATTCTAATATAACATTGGTAAGGTGAAAAGATTTAAACACCTAGTCATATATACTGTATGTATTGTCTGATTTAATGTACATAGTCTATAATTAGGGCTCCTAGCACATTGTGCTGATAGATGCCAGTGTTAGGATAATTGCTTGCACACCATTTCTGTTGCATTTGTTGTTAACATTATTATTGTCATCATTATCATAGTTTTTTCTTCAGTCCTCCGCTCCGGTGATAGCCAGAGCCGAAGGCATATTGTTTTCGGGTTGTCTGTCTGTCTGTCTGTCCCATTCTCATGGAAACGATGTCTTAGTAGCGCCATGACGGAATTTTAGAAAAAACGGAAATTTATAACAAATATTCACTTCAACTTTAGGGCGAACTCATTAGATTTTGGTGGTCAAAGGTCAAGGTCAGTGTGACCTCACAAAACTCAAGACTTCACAGCAATTATGACCAAATTTCATACAAATGGTTCATATTTTCTGTGACTCTGGATAAACAGGGATGTAACCTGAAACTAGTCTGAGTGGAGGAGGCAGACAACCACCAGGAGGTGATTCTAGTTTTTCTTTTAATTAGGGATCCAGTGGGCTGTGCCAGTGGTGTAAGAAGGTTGCATCTACATGTCTGTCTGATTAACACAAAACTTAAAAATATGCAAAACCTACTTTTTTGAAGTCCTCTTAGGTTGAAATTCAGTCTGCATAAGTAGTGAGTGAGCTGTCTGATTTTCAACCACAGTCCTTCGGCAAGATGTTTCAATGAACATCAACGCGATAAAATTTACAGCGACACCACAGAGGACAGTAACAACAACAACAAAGAGAATTATCAAAACATAAACCTGGGCCATGCCAAAGCAGCTGGAAGCAGTTAAACATTAGGCCAATAACAGAGTAACAACAAATACATTCAGTACATGTAGCCATGCAAGCAGCATGACACAACGAAACAGTAGTTATGAATGAAATGATCAATATGTTGATCTTGCTAAAATGTTAAAAGATGCAGTTAAAAGTAAGTAAAATGGTTTTATACCATTGTACCAGACATACACATCATGTAACACAGAGTGGCAAAACATAATTATAAGAGAACCTACCAGGTTGTTAGTAAAATATTAATAGTTCCATCCATACTTACCCAAGCCATGCCATGACTGTTCTAAAGCCAGGCCTTGAGACATTGAGTGAAGGTGTGTTCGGAGGTAAAGTCCCTTATTTTGGTTGGTAGGGTGTTCCATGATCGGCTGAAGAAGCTGGACTTCAGAGGGATACACAGTCCTCTCTGAGAACAGATTGTGTACATCTGTTGTTTAACTTTTTCTGATTTAATAAAAATACTAAGCGGTGTGGGAGCCTTGCCATTCAGTATCTTAAACACCAGGCAGATGTCTGTGTATTTCATAACCTTATCCCAGTTAAGGATGTTATATTTTTCAAGAATATTGCAGTGATGGTGAGAGTTGTTCTGGGTCCTGTCTAACACCTTGAGAGCCTGCTTGTACAGACAGAGAATGGGCTTCAGTGTTGTACCTTCTGCATGAGTCCAGCTTGTCATACACTGTTATAAGTTGGGGATGATCATTGCATACATACAGTATATAGATTTGCTGCTGAGGTTGTTAGGTAGATTCTCATATATCTTAAAATTCCCAGGTAGTATTTGGATATTTAAATATAACTTTATTCACTTGAATGATAATTAGTTGATTGTTGTTGCATTGAGTTTGGCAGCTGCTTGATCTTAAGTTTTTGCATGAACATAGATTACAACATCATCTGCATACATCTGACCTTCACACTGTGTGCAGACTTATGGTAAAAAAAATCATTGTACCTGTGGGCCTGTAGGTCTGACTTGCATGCCTCCACAGGCCATCAGCTGCACATTATGTGGGGGACATGGACCCCACACAATCTTCTAGTTTGAGGTCTAAGCCCCAGGGCCTGGGGGCCACACATGTAAAGCAGCGTGGCTATACATACAAAAGGAACAACTTCCTATAGGTTAGAGTCAAAACAGCAAGTGTTGTGTATCTTGGCAACAGTCACTCTTATTAACACAAAACTTAGTCCAGTAGTTTCTCATGTCCACTGAGGCTCTGTTGGCACCTCTCGGCCACTAGGTGGAGCTTTTGTTGCAAAATCATTGCGTTGCTTCATAAGAATTGTGCAGGATCTTGGGACCTCATTAATACCTGTTCAGTAGTTTCAAAAGCCACAGAAAGATCCACAGCAGCACAGTGCCAGTGCAGTACAATAATGATATTATTTAGTACAACTGTAGTGGCAGAAATTGTATGAAGTCATCTAGAACCTGACTGCAGGAAGATTTGCCCTTTGTCAGTGCGCAGTAACGTAGTGTTACAGGGCTCTATTTAATTAGAAATCAGAAATCTGCCAACAGTTTTCCACAATTTAAACAAATTTTTTGTGCTATGTTTCTGTATCTATAGAAAGGGGGTTGTGTGTGTGTGTGTGTGTGTGTGTGTGTGTGTGTGTGTGTGTGTGTGTGTGTGTGTGTGTGTGTGTGTGTGTGTGTGTGTGTGTGTGTGTGTGTGTGTAAAATATTTAATTTAATAGTGTGTATCCCACACTGTTGTCACTTATTTCACAAAATATTGTTGGTACTTGACTCATAGATTGTTTGCCATCACAGTCAAATCTATGATATGTTACAATACATTTTAGTTGTTCATTATTTGCTTGTTTTGTTATCATTTTCATGATCCTGCTGTTTCCTGTTGCTCCAGTGACACCGTTTGATCTTTCACCTTTCATCTAAAATCTTATTCTTTTCTTTTCGAAGAGGCCTTCATGCCAACGACACACTGCACAGGAAGAAGACGGATTCAGCCAAATGCTCTCGGCCATCACTGCATAGAGAGTCTATAAGCTTCATGAAGGGAGTGATGGATGAATGTACACACATGGCCAACTTCTCTGGTAAGTTTTTTTTACAGACAGTTTTTTTCTGATTACTGTCATGACTGAACTAGGACAGAGGAAATCAAATATCCAGAAATACTGTGACAGGCTATAGATCTACAGGGCCATGCACACGGTGTTTCTCCACCTCCATAATGGAACTCATTCTGCTGCTCAAATAGAAGCAGTCAGGACGGTGCTGAACAGGCAGCCCCAGACCTTCACAACAACAAGTTACACCTGAAGTCGGCAGATTTTTACCTGTATAATTGAACTACTAAAAGAAAATTGTACAAGTGCAAACTTCTGATATAGCCACATTGAATTTTGTAGTGATGGTATTTATAGTATGTTAATATTAAAGAATCGTTGTCTAGTAGGGTTGTGCCGATGAAATCGGTGCTCGACGATCATCAGAACAATCATGATAGCTCATGCCTTTGCAAATGTCAAGACAATATTTGACTTGTTTTCCCATTAATGTAGTAACTTATTATTTGTAGTATTAATTTTAATTTGCAATGTCACACTTTCACATATATAACCGCATATAACCATGATTGCAACACACACGCAGACACTTGCACACTCTGACCAGGTGATTGTAATGAAGCTGCTCGTTGTGTGACAGAACACATCATTTAGTTCAGTTTGTTATCCTGCTGCTTTTTATGGATGTAAATAGAACTTTTGGACAGTCAATGAGAGAGACACATTATTTGTGACAACGATTTTGTATTTTCCATGAAAGAGCAATGGCGAGAGAGAGAGAGGCGAGCAAAACAGGACACATTCGCTTTTTTATAACGTAACATGTCCCCTGGTTGCCTGGACCATAGACTGTAAGTAAAGATGGACGTAACCTCCGTGATGTCACCCGTAGATCGTCCCGCCTCTTCTTTCCCTGCCTGCAGGCAGGTCTCTGGACTGCAGCTGGTGACAGAGGTTCTTGTTCTGCTTGGGTGGAGAACTGGTGCATGTGCTGCTACGACAAACTGACAGAGGCTGCAGAGCAGAACAAGGACTGCTGTCTACAGGCTAGCTGTTTAACAGTTAACAGTGGACTGGTTAGCAGAGACTGAACTTTTACAATTAAATATAGAAATTTTTAATGAGGTGATCTGTACAATTTATCTGAAGTAGATCATATGCCCATCTGCAAGAGCGAATAAACATGATCTTACTGATTGGTCTCAGAAATGAGATGAATTGTATAAATGGGCCAAAAGGGGGCAGTTGAGATTAATGTAAATTCTGCTGGTGGCTGCAGTAGATTGTTGGCTGCAAAGCCAAGTCCATTAAAAATCCATTTCGTTATTTACTGTGATCACTGCACCACATGGCCAACCTAGACTGCTAGACTGCTCATAGACTGCCCAGGCAGCATCAATGGTACACTGTATTTTGGCATTGTTGTATTGCGCATGTCAGTGTGTGTGTGAGAGCAACTACTTGCATCACAGGAACTGTAATTTTGTGATGACCTAAACCAGGTTTTTAATGGTAGACTAAATTGTACAAAACAGAATGTAGCATGGAACTGGAATCCTCCAGGAACAACGTGAGAGTTAAGGAGAGCTTAGTAGACAGTGACCCCACACTAGGTATCATGTCCTGGGGGACTGGCTGAGTGAAAACCCATTTCAGGCACTGTTGGCAAATGAAGTTGTTAACCAGACAAATGTAAAAATCCAAATACACTGAAGGAAAGATGTTCTTGTCAGATGTAAGTAATTAAAACAATAGAACTTTGCTGAGATACACTAAAGGTAAATTCCACTGAACGACATTCAGGTTACACTCACTGAGAATTTATTAGGCAAACCTGTACATCTGCTTATCACACAAGAGTTTCCTCTTTAACAACAAAAGCATCCAGTGAGCAGCAGCTCTGTGTTGATGAGAGAGGTCAGAGGAGAATGGACGGACTGGTTGGAGCTGACAGAAAGACTATGGTCACTCAGATAACCGCTCTTTACAACTGTGCTGAGCAGAAAAGCTTCAGAGTGACGTCCAATCTTGAGGTGGATGGACTACAGCAGCAGAAGACCAGGATAGGTTCCACTTCCTGTCACCAAGAACAGAAACCTGAGGCTGCAGTGGACACAGACTCACCAACACTGGACAGTTGAAGACCAGGTCTGATGGATACCAGTGTTAGTGTGCTGTTCATGATAAAGTGCTCAATGAGTGTATGTATAATCTAATTGCACTCATTATAGAGGTCTGCTCTGCATCACTGTGCTCAGTGCTACCACTGGTGACTGCTAACCATATTGAAGATATACGAAGGGTAGACCAGTGAAGAGAGGATAAATAGAAGACCCCGCTGTCTCTGAGCAGATCTAGTCCTGTCTCTCTGACACATCCACATGGATGAAGGAACACCACCTTCAGCTACACCTCTCTAAGACTGAACTCTCAGGGTCTAGACAAACCTGGTGTCATGTTTGATGACCAGCTCTTCTTCTCTGACCATGTTGTGTCCGTCTCCTGGTCGTGTCTCTTTGCTCTGTACAACATCAGAAAAATCAGGTCTTACCTGACTTAGCACTCCACCCAGCGCTTGGTCCAGACCATGGTTATCTCTCACCTGGACTACTGCAGTGCTCTTCTGGCGGACCTGCCTTCACTCAGTGAAACCCTTACAGGTGGTCCAGATTGCAGCAGCTCATCTGGTCTTTGATCAGCCTAAAAGGTCACATATCACTCCACTGGATAACCTACTCTGGCTGTGTCCCAATTCAGGGCCCATATCCTTCTGAGGACATGGCACTGAAGTTTTAGCGGTGTCCCTCAGTTGTAAGTCTCTTTGGACAAATGTGTCTGTCAGATGAATAAATGTAAATGTAATGTAAATCAGGAAGATGTGATCTCTTTTCTCACTTTGTGACGTCTAGCACTTTAATTCTGACAGACAGCTGCCTTGTCACTAGTTTTTAATGGAACATACATTTGCATGTGATCCACATGAAAACAGTACTGAATATCAGGTATCTGTCCTTTCCTCTTTCCCAGTCCCTGTAGACACCAGTCTCATCATCGTGGTTCAGGCCAAAGAGGACGCCTACATCCCTCGTACAGGGGTCCTCAGTCTGCAGGAGATCTGGCCTGGATGTGAAGTCAGATATCTGAACGGAGGACACATCAGTGCATACCTGTTTAAACAGAACGTCTTCAGGTAAACCGCCGACTCAAAGCAGGGCAAAACGTGTGTGAGGTAATAGTCTGTTGGTTCTGACACACACTTCAAATCTGATTCCTTTGTTCAGTGGTGAAGTTGTGTTGTTTTGTAGGAGTAAATGATCAGTACAATGATTAGTTCAGCCTGTAAAACCGTGTCACACTCTGACATCTCCTTTCTCCTGTCATATGTGACAGAGTAAAGCCCAGAGGTGTGGACTGGAGTGGCCTGACTTGTTTGTGACTCAGTAAACATCAATATGATTTTAGACTTTAGCGCTAATAAAAAAGACTCATAACTGCATATGGACTTCAGCCCTTTGTACTGTATGAGTCGATAACCTGGCCAAGAACCAAAGATCAAAACTGAGGGAAATGTGTTTTTGTGAATGTAGACCAACAGACAGACAAACAGAAGCTGTCTGAGGTTACAACAGTCAGACATGAAATCATTCAGGCTGCATGTTTTAAATGACAAAGGTCTCCAGTGAAAGGTCTTATCAGCTGTAGATCATTAACCAACTTGCTAAAGGGCCAGAATGAAATTGGCTGTTGTCTGGTGTGTGTGTGTGTGTGTGTGTGTGTGTGTGTGTGTGTGTGTGTGTGTGTGTGTGTGTGTGTGTGTGTGTGTGTGTGTTGTGGAACACCATCCTGTAACGAGAATACAGTATTTTTATTTAAAATTCTTCCATTTTTTATTTGATAATACTCATATAAATCATACAAAATAGTGTACATAATGCAACTTGTTCCAGCAATCCTCCCTAACCCTCACCCTTACCCCCCATAACCAGGAAGGGTTGATCCGCTATAGAGTGGACTAATTCTTGTGGTTAAAGAGACAATGCAGATCATAACTAACTAAACACATTATTAACAAAGACAGAGATGATGACAAGAATAACAAATAAATAGACACAATTCTGTAAATAAAACTAAAAAGAATGTGGTCTCCTGAAGAAGTGAGAGAAACAAGTTATAATAAATATATAAAAAAAATGTTTGGTCTGAGCTTAGCTCATGAGCCACCATAGATGTTTGGATCTTCGGTTGTCTATACATTATATATATACATATATAATTTAAAAATTATTTAAAATATTAAATATTAAATAGTAACTTTAAAATGAATTATAGTCTTCGGAGCGAAATACCCCGCAGCGGGCACCAGCCTAAACTGATATAAAATAGCCAATATTGTTTCAGTCTAAAATTATTACTATTAATCTGGAACTCCAGAACCAAATTACCATGTCAACAGTAAGTTAAGTTGAAGGATTGGAATTCTATTGAGTAGAGGTTGGTAATATTCACACTTGTGCAACATTAAACACACCAGTAGTTATACTTAACGACATTTGTTTACAATGGAGCAGAGTAAAAACGCAATGTCTAATCTAGTATATACAGGTGTATGTGTGTGTTTGTGTCAATTCAAAGTGATCACTGTGACCACATTGCTTGAACAAGGAAGACTACACAAGATGGCAGTAAACAAAGAAACTACTCAAAATAGCTGCTGAGACCACCTGGTGTGTGTGGGAGGGAAGGTGTTAGTTTCTTTGTTAGCCTAGCTCATGTAATCTAAATGTACCAGGTTAAGGGGGATGTTAACTTCATGCAGGTTCTAGAACCGAGTGTGTGAACATACAAGTACTCTATTAACTGTATGACTGACCCCAACCCAAGCAAAAATTTCAACAACAAAACATTAATCAACATGTACATTAACAAAGTTAAGACTTCTGCTACTAAGCTGTGCTGTGCTATGCTGTGCTAGGAGAGGTTAGGCCCAGTCAGTTAATGTTACCCAGCCCTTGGAGCAAAACAAAGAGGTCCTTTCCAGTGTTGTTCTAAAGTCCAGTTAGTTGGGAGGCTTCCTGGTGGAGTAAAGACCTGTCTGGCTGTGTTGCTTTGCTGTTATCTCCTTCGTTCTCCTCACAGAGTTAGCTGTTCCATGCTAACTTTGCTGTGGCTCCTGTTGCTTAGAAAATCAGCTGGCTGGCCTTGTGTTGTAGCTGCTGATTCTGAAGAGAACTTGGTTTACTCTCAGTTAATCCTAAGCAGATCGCTGCTGTTGAGGAGAACAGTGTTGCAGTCTGCTGTGAGCAGGCTGACGAGAGTATTGTTTCAGGTAGCAGGGCTGACCTGGGCTGGGGCCTTGTTGCCCCTTGAAGAGCCGAGAGGGGAGAGCAGGAGCTGCTCTCCTGATCAAGCTGAGAAGAGAGATCTGGTTTTGTTTGGTGACACTCTGGGGGGTCACATTTCACACATTGACCAACACTGACTGGTCAGTGAGGTCCCTGGGGGAGGGTTGTCACCAGGTGTGAACATTGAGGAACTGTGGGGAAGTGAGTTCCTTTGTCTGTGGAACAAAGAAACATGTAGTCTCTTGAATGAGTCCCAAAAATTAAAAAATATCATAATATTTTTTTTGTTCTGTCCTGCAACCTATATGACATCTTTTCATATGAAGCCACTTTACCTAATTTAGTCACCCAATCTTGAACAGGTTCCTTCCAATTCCGCAGGACGATTTGTCGTCCAATCATGATAGCAGTCACTTTCCATTGTTTCAGTGGTTATGGAAAAGCAGACCACACTTTACAGTCTCCCAGGATATATAACTTAGGAACCCAAATTGCCTTTTTATGACATTGACAATTTAACAGTGAATCTTCATCCAATATTGATTAATCTTGGGGCCTGACCATAGTGCATGCACCAGCTTACCTTCATCCATACCACACTCTAGCAAGTACCTGAGTCTTTTAAGCCAAGTCTGAAAAGCCTATTTGGAGTCCAATAAAATTGGTGCAGAATTTAAAATGAAATAAGTCTCACCCTCAGATCCCTCAACATTATTCGAGAGTTGCCACAAATCCTAGCCCAGTCCTGTTCATCAAATGACACCCCCAAATCCCTTTCCCAGGAAAGTCTAAGGGCCGACACCCCACCATCTCCTCCATATTCCATCAGCATCCTATAATATTTGGCTGCTTCATGACCTTGAGAATTTCTTAGCAGTCCTTAGCAAGACATGGCGTAGCTGAAGGTATCTCCAGAATTGGGATATAGGTAAACCATATATTTTTTTCAGGTCACCAAATGATTTAAGTGTATTGTTGCTGTATACATTTTCTAATCTAAGGATACCTCTTTATACCCACTCCTCCTAAAAAAACGTTTTTTTATTAATATTCAGTTTGGGATGTAGCCAAATAATGGAGGCCTTGTTTAAATAGGGATCAAACTGTATCAGCCCCGAGATTCTCCTCAATACCTTCTGAAGTTGAGATATGATTGGGTGAGCCTTCACATACCCAGATGGATCCGTGGACAAGCAGTGCAGCGGAGGAAGAGGAGCACATACAGAATGCTCTATGTTGTACCATGGAGGGGCTCTCTCCTGAGGGAGTGCCCAGTGCGCCTCAGGCTGAAAGTATAATAATAATAAACCAAATTTGGGAGTCCTAAACCACAGCTATTGAGTGGTCTTTGTAATTTCCTCATTCATATGTGGTCGCTTTCCATTCCAGAGGAATTCTTTAAATGCACTATCGAATCTCTTAAAATAACTGTCTGGAATTTCTATGGGAGGGAGGAAAGTAGGTAATTAATCCTAGGGATGCAAATCATTTTGATTACATTAACTTTTTCCCATAAAGACAAGAACCCTGCTTGGGCCATCTAAATCATCCTGCCTGGAAGATTACAGTTGGACAGTGCTTTGTCAAAGGTAGGGCTTCCGATATATCCCAACCATATATCCTGAGAACTTTAAAAAAAAAAAAAAAGTCTTCAGCAATGAGGGTATTGATACCACAGGGTCCTAAATTGATAAAAGAATATTGTTCGCATACGTCAACAATTTATGGATGCTTCCATTACGCGTCACTCCCGGAAAGTTATCATCACCCCCAGAGGTTCCATCACCAAACAAAATAACAGAGGGCTAAGCGGGGAACCCTGACGTGTGCGTCTCCCCAATTCAAAATATGACGATATGTACCCATGAGTGTGTACTGTTGCTTCTGGTCGATTATGTAATAAACTTAATAAAACTTTTTCCAGGCAAAACATTTCTAAAGTCCTAAACAAAAATCTCCATTCCACCCTATCAAACAGCATTGGTGAATTGGAATTTGAGACTGTCCACATAATATTAATAAAGTGCCTACTTTTGTCAGAACCCACCTGATTACCTTACCACATCATTACCTTCCCGCGCCTATTTGCGAGGACTTTAGACAAAATTTTGGTGTTTAATGGTATAACGGAAATCGGATGATAGTTCTTACAGTCACATGCGTCGTTGTCATATTTAAGACTAAGTGTAATTAAAGCTTTTGATAAAGTAGCTTGTAGCTACCCCTTTCAAATGCCTCATTGTACATACTGAGTAGCAAAGGTGTTAGTTCCATCAGCTGTAAAGCCATCTGGTCCTGGGGCTTTTCCATTTGGTAGTCCTTTAATTACATTAATAATTTCTTCACTGGTTATCGGGTGGTCAAGGTCTGTCTTTTGTGATTCAGATAATCTGGGAAGATCCAATCCTTGGAAAAATGTTTCTATACACTCTTCATCGTGTTGAGAGTCTGCTGTATTTAATTTCACATAAAACTCTAAACCCATTATTAATAACTACAGATTTGACTTTTAGTTCTCCCTCCTCTGATCTGATGGCCAAAATAATAGATGATAGTTCTTTCTGTTTTAAGGAGTTTGCCAATAGTTTACTCGCTTTATCCCCCGATTCGTAATATCTTTGTCCCATTCTGAAGAGCAAGAACTCTACTTTCTTCGACAGGAATCAGTTATAATCATACTTCAGTTGATTTAGAGCCCTAAGATCTTCAAAATTAAAGTTCCCTTCTAAGTTAGTCTCAAGCTTCTTATTTTTTTCTTCAATTTCAGCCTGTTTTGCAGTATTCCTCTTTTTCTTATGAGAAGCATGTTGAATGACAAAGCCCCTCAGTGTAGCGTCAGGGCTTCCCA